TCCTCTCGAAGCCACAGCTGCAGCCAAAGCAGGGAGCCAAAAGATTGAGAGTCTGATTCCTGTTCATGTTGAAGCTCAGACAACCATATTGCCAGAAGTGACGATGCTAGTCCTTGCGCACAAAGAGAAGGGTTAAGGACAAGACGTGGCAAGGTTGGTTGGTTATACAAGGACCTTGTTCCCTCTGTTTCCCAATCTCACTGCCACGATTGAGCATCTTCTCAAAGTGTGTCCGATAAGGTATCTCCGTAAAGGTCGGATTGCAGGCCTGCCCAATCGATCGATTCGAGCTGTATCTGCATAGCGTCGTCAGTCACATCGTACGAGGACATTGCTGGGTGAGTCGACTCTGGTTGCGATGCTTTCTCGTTCTGCGCAAGTGGTGTCGAAAATGTTGTATTGGTTGCAAACTGCTGGTCTGAAAACCCAACTACTCCCTCGATGAACGTCTTGTGTAGGGTCGGAAGGCTTGAATCAACATTTAAATCAGAACACCAACCCGGTTGTGTCCGAGGCGGATCTCTCAGTGGTGCGTCACGGCTTTTCTCAGCCATCCTCCTCCTTTTAGTCGTCACATTTTCAAAATCATCACCAATTCTGTTGTATCCTTCTTCACAGTCTGACAGTGTCCTGTTCTCTTGCTCCATGAGCGACACGATCCATGCCCGGTTGTTGTGGACGAAAATCTTATGTGCGAACCAGTCGAAACAAATATTCTTCAGCTCTGTCCAAGAAGGATCAAGGTGGTCTTTTACCAGGCTGCACGACGTGTAAGAGTCTTTAGCCTTTTGAAAAGTTTCAGTACCACACGACCGTAACCACCTGAATCGCTCCTTCTGGGCGAAGAAGAGTGTAGCGCCACGCAATGCATCCAAGCGGATGCCGAGTGCGAGTGTGGATCTGAGACTCGTTTCAGTCACATTCAGTGACAGAGCGTAGGCCCGGCGTCCACCAAATGGTCCATGTCTGGCGGCACGTCGATCAGTCACACACCGCTGCTGTTGGAATTGTCGAAAGTCTTGATACACCCATAAAGACGCGAGGAAGACTTTAATATAACGGATAACACGATCCTCCTTGTTTTCCTTGGGCTGTGGCAGGGACTGAGCTTGTATTATTACAGGATGCTCCTCCAAATGCGCTTGAAACCTTTTAAGCAGATTCTGGCGTGACCACTTGAACGGAAGGATTGGTGATGGGACTTGGGGTTTACTGTTTCCGGTTTCTTTTCGACTGGGTCGAGGAGGGTTTGTTCCCGCTGATGCCTGTTCTGTACTCGAACTGATGTCCAGCGAGGTATCAGTCGAGGCGCTTCCAACTTGGGGTTTGTCTATCCCCTGAGCAGTGTCGGGTCGTACACTTCTATCCGCTTCGATAGCCGGAAGCAGGTTCACAAGAGAGGTACGCTGGCCACAGCGAGTAGGACTAAGTGTCGTAGCCCGTCGACGTCGTGGAGCAGAGTATTCTGCTACGGGTGTCGTCGTTTTGATCACTGCTTTGGAAGTATTGACCTGATCTAAGAAGAGAGACAGATCGTTCACACGCTCGCGTATGGAAATTTGCAAATGTAGATGGGAATTGATGTCCGCAGTTTTTAGATTGACAAGTTGATTGACAAGTTTCTGGATTTCCAGATCCATTGCTGCTACGGTGTTGATAGTGAGAGTTGCTAGAGTGACAAGATGACGGGTGAGGATGACCGTTACCACTCTCAAGCATTTCGTCTCCTTCTTTGGGCTTGTGAAGGCTGGACCAATGAGAAGTCAGTTTAGCTGTTTCAAAAGCAGCTAAACTGACTTCTCATTGGCCGATCTAATACGGACTATGAGCGGGCGCCTCGAGCTCAACAACTTGATGTCACCTGTCAAAGAATCATGACATTGTGCATTCGATCAAGACCGAAGGAGATGAGGCCTCGAGGTGATTGAAAACTTCACACGGCTGAAATACGATTGATTTTGAGGAGAGACTCCTGAAGTTTTCGGAAGTGCAGAGCATGGCAAATGTATATCTTCTATTGGTCGCTGTCCCTATGCCTTGGTTTGCCTGTTGCCTTCTGGTTTCTTTCATTTTCCCCTTTCAAACATCCCTGGGCTGGTTTCATCTTCGAGCAGACTATGTTCACACGCCCAGTAGACCCGCTCCTGATCTTTCAAGCTTTCTGTCTGCTCTACTCAACTGTTGTGGCAGCGTTCTTCGTTGTCCGAAACACACACCAATTCTGGTGCCGAAAATATAATTGGAGGGACGATTGGCAGAGACCGTGCTACTCGGCTGCTAAAGTTATCGAGTGGAGCCTCACCATAGCCTCTGTTTCTCTCTATTGTCAGAGAGGAAGTGATCGAGTGTGGGCGACCACGGCCTGCATGGCCATTCAGATGAACTGCATTACTGAGGTAAGGTTATCTGCAAATGAACATGGTCGGTGCTTACACCTCGACGCAGGTACTCTCCTGGTGGCCATCTCTTCAACTCACTCGAGCCCTTCGAGTGAAGTTCGAGGTGCCGATATGGAAGATTACTCAACTCGTTATGTTCTCAATCGCTACCACTACTTTAGCACTAAGAAGTGTCTACACGTCTTGGAATGGGCAAGGGAATTCATTATTCACCTCAGGTTCGCTTTTTGTTGCCAACGTGTTACTCAAGATCATAGTCATCCTTTCTCATTTTTGTGGAGGTCTCACGTTGAAGAGGGACTATCCATACGCTGTTGGTCACTCACCCAAATGGCCAGGGCAAGGGAAGAAGAAGCAAGTCTATATATGGGCTGCCGTTCAAAATGTGTTCTATGTAGCACTTGGCGCCATCTGGACTAGTGATCCATTTCACGGCAGGCGTTCAGGCCTTATCGTTTCGGTGAGAACAACAAATGGCACAACGTTTCTTGCCTAACTTTGTTCAGTTAAGTCTGCTAGTCGTGGAAGCGACCAGCCCGTGTTTAGCAGGAATCTGGTGTGACTGTGCGCAGATTTGGACGGAACGTGGTGTCGGTGCTCTTCCAGAATCGAGGTTGCTAAAGAGTTCTCATCTTGACTATGTGCGGCCAGTGCTCGTGTCCAAGGCGCCAGGCTCAGGAGATAGGGAGGTTTCGTGGATCCAGAAACAACTGGACGAGTTGGACAACGCTTGACTGAGATACTACAGCTACTCAGTGGTGTCCGCAGTATTGTAAGCCGTGGAGAGCTCAGATTACCGTCCTAGATCTGATTCAAGGCTCATACGCAAGGTTCATGGTATTTGAGCGCTAATGGTATATGCTCAAAAGTAATAAGAGTTCGTTTCATAACGTCTGTTCACAACGGTACTCGTGTCAGTCATGCGTGGTGAACCTGGGTATGGATCACGATGTACTGAGGAGTCCCCCTGATGAACAACCCCGCAAACAGGTAGGATTACACCACGAAACAAGGAGGTTACAGTGTCGATGCCATTGTCGTTGGTGATACAGCAGATGCGCGTATCGGCACAAGCATTCGATCACGAACTATAAAGCGACGCCAGTCTCACCAAATCGCCAGACTATGCAAGCACAAACCACACATCAAATGACGAGTCCCAACGCACTGATGGATTTAACCATCAACCCGCCGCAATCAATCCTGGCACTCAATCCTGGCACTCAAAGGTTGTTGGGCGCCTATGACTGACAGCAAAAGGAGTACGGAGCAAGTCGTCGTCCGATTTTTCAGGAAGAAAACATGCTACAATCTCCAAAACAAGAAGAGACCTGTTACGATTGACCTTAGAGAAATGAGGCCCATCACTAGACGTGAAGATGTGAAGGAGGAGCGAGTGCTGGACGTGGATACACAATGGTCTATGGACCTCTTTGCTACAGTTGAATTCGACCGTGTCTGCCTTGGAAAGAATACTTTTGGTTACGAACAGTTGTTCAGAGTTGTCATCAAGGATGGTAATTGTCCTCTCTGCAGTGAGGTGGAGAATAATGATGGAATTTGTACTCATGTACAGCAATTTCAGAACCTTGAGGGGACGGCGAGCGAGACTGCATTGGTCCACGTTCACTCTGTTGCGGCGAATGGCATGCCCTATGGGTTGCGCGTAACAAGGACTACTGAAAGCGATGGCCTGGGTTACTTACATGATGATTAGCCACTGAGTCTCGAGAACACCTTCGCGTGTGATGCAGTGTACTTGATGACATTGTCTTCGCCACGCTCTGGGCGTCGGAACTGGACATTCGACATTGAAATAGACCGCATTTCCTACTCAAACTGCACGCATAGTGACCACACTCAGTCATGTGCCTATTTACCTGGCATCATGTAGTGACATTGGTGCTTGTAGTGGTCATCAAATCACGAACTTTGTTACTGTATTTAGTGGTGTTGTTATATGGGCCCATTTTCTGGGCAACTGTGTTTCTAGCCAATATGCACCGCGAGATCGTAGTCAATCAGCATGCCCGAGCATCCACCATTCTGGTCCGGACTGGTCAAGATGATATTGCCGTGTGACACATCCCGGTGCAGAATCTTCCGATGGTTGAACAGATTCCAATGTGCCCTGATGGCGTCTCGAAATGCTTCCAACACCTCGCAGACGTTCGCAAAGTCCTGTAGGGGGCGTCCAGCGGGGCTAATGGCAAGGCACGTCAATATCCGATTTTGCTGCGGCGAATTGGGTGGTGGCATGGTCGATACCTGGCGCTGTTCAAGTTCGCCAGGCTGGATTTCTTGACACAGGCTGGATGGCTGACTGTTGGAGCGTGATCTCTTGGGAGGACTTCCACCTCGTTGGGTGGCCTTGCGCTTGGTGCCACTGACGCTGAGAGACTCCAACTGCTGAGTGGACTGACTGGTGAAGGACAACTGTGATGCATCGACGGTTCTCTCGTGCACCGCATGTCCGAGATCGCGAAGTTTTCTGATCCTCAGGCCGGCGTGCAACTCGTTGATCGTCGTAACTGTGGATGCCCCTGCCGACGTAGGAATGCCCCTGACGCCTTGAGCTTTTGCCAGGTGATCGACCTCAGATCGCTGCTTGTCAGGTCCCCACGAGAACTTGACTACATGTTTCCCATCAGTAGTGCGATAACATGTTGTCCCTCGACAGGCTATGGCTGATTGCTTGAAGAAGGGAGACAGTTCCAGTTGGAAGCTGCACTCCTTGCCCGTCACAGGATCTGACAGCGTGACCGAAGGATAGAACCCATCGCGCTGCATGAACATATCAAGACCCAGCTCTTCTGCGGTCATCAAAGTGTACCCCGCCAGCACGCGGACGAATTGTTGTGGTTCCTGGCGGATGTTGAATGTTTGAGAGCTGTACGCCCCAGATCGGTCGAAGACCCACAGTTGCATTTGCACGCCAAAGACGATAAAACCGTGGACGAACCGTCGTGTCGGTTGTGCAGAAAACACGTCTCGCATGTAAGTGGCCAACTGGGTAAATTTCTTTTTCCATACTTTCGTATCTGACGTGGTGAGTTCACCCACCACTATTCAATCTGCAAGATGGTGTACTTCGCCAGAAGCAGCAGCTCGGGACTTGAGGAGGACGCCAAGCTGGCGTTCGCCTGTAGCGCCGGTGATGTTGCTCTTGCTCTCCGCCCGGTAGAACACATTAGGTGCATCTCCCAGATGCTGTTCCTGGAAAGACTTCAACCATGTCCAGGAGTCGACCTCTTCCGGCTTCGATGTCTCCGGAAAGCCTTCTAGGGGATCGTCTCGAGGAAGCTGCTTCAAAATCTTTTCTACTTGCTCTGACCATGCCTTGTTTTGAAAGTATTTGGAAATGAATTCTGGCACACCGACGTGAGTCCGCCTGCTCAGTTCGATCTCGATGTCTCTGCGCAGTTCTTCTCGTTTCTGATTCGAATCTCGAAAGGAGGCCGATGATCGTCTGAGAGGTGTCCCTGAAAACGACGGAGGAATGCTGCTTAATGGAGGCGTAACTCGAGAGAGGTCAGCGATAAGTTGGAGGACCACTCGCCAGATCTCAAGGTCGCTGGCTTTGTTGGCCACAAGTTTCGTAAGAGGGGTAAAAGGAGAGAGGTCGAAAGTCAAGGATTGCAATTTCGCGTTGATCGTGGCGAGCTCGACATTAACAGGTCGCTGTAAGAAGCGGAGACGCCTCGCTGCTGGATGTATTTGAAGGGTCGCTAAGAGAGTTGAAACCGTATACCTGCGGTCTGATGGCTCCTGTGATGCATCAGTAGCAGGTGACTCGCGAACCTTAAAGCATCCTGTAGAGGGGCGAGACTGGCTGAGAGTGGCCCTTGTGCTGATATGATATCCGATACCCACACTCTCAGCTCGTGCTCTGAGGGACATATGCTTTCGGAGGTCGTTGTATACACAGATCAGTTAAGCCCCCAATTTCTTCCGCGCAAGCAGAACTATGGTTAGTGCGCTCTGCTTGATGTCTGGAGTATGACGAATTGCGTTGAAAAGGCGACAAATTGCTCACAAGCCAGTGTTTTGCTGATGTCCACAGAGGTACTTTCAAATCCTCACATAGATATAGTAAAGAGTCCTCGATCGATGTTTCTTCGGAAAGTGCTGAGTGCTTCCAGCCAAACATTCTGCACGTCAGTCCTACCGCATCTGATAAATCATCGCAACTGTGTGGTGTTGCTTCTGTCGATAACTCTGCTATAATTGGTGATATTGAGCAACAGCTCCTTCTCGCAGTTACTATTTTCGCCCAGATGACATTTATTCTTCTAAGTCCCGCTACAGACGAACAGATGAACAAATAGCGCTCGCGCCCAAGGAAATGCTCGTGTTCGAGAAGGTTGCTCGGGTCTAGCTCACGGATTTGAACAACCAGTCCATCGCGTCTCGTATATATCAAATGCCCGTCTCCATCACAGATTGTTGGAAGCTGTTTGTGTGAGCTCAAGTCATGCTAAATCGAGGGACTAACTTGTGAAATGAAAGCCTTCTCGGTAGTATCGCAAACGACGACCGACTGGAGCGACATCACGGAGAGCCAAGGTTGCAAAAGGCCAAATCAGGCTTCACGGCTGGTTGCGCCCGACATAAGCTCATACGCAAGGGAAGCATTAGAGCTCGCCATATATACCCCTAAATGATTCCGATCTGTGGTTGTATAGCGTCCAGCGTGTCGTAGTTAGCATCACGAATCCAATCGACATTAGCAGGATTTCTATCCAAACTGACACATTCAGAGACAATCTACTTTACGCCATGCTAGATAGCCTAGCTCGCAGACTGTTAGGTAAGGGACCTCGTAGAACATGTACACACCATGTGTTAGCCTGTCCTGCCTATGTCCAGCAGACTACCCTTGTATCTAAAGTCGCCGGTGGATTATAATGATGAGGGGTCTTGTGCCATCAATATCTAGGGACAACCAATTGACCAGTGATGTGTGGAGTAAGCACCGATAGCGCTGCGACGGAGCAGATGTCAGCACTGTAATCTGGACAGCCGCCAGTCTAGTGACGAGGTCTGTCAACTTCTTCGGCACCTTTGACAGAATACATCAGAGATTTCCATCCCGAATTCGCTTCTGCAGTTCTGGCTAATTGTGCTTCCCTCTCAATATGTCTGTTGACTTCACCTTCGAAGATACTTGGTCACTTTTTGGAGTGAACCAGAATCTTATTGCTCACTTAGAGAGATTGCAAGCTACTGGATTGTTTTACCAAATTCGCAAAGAGATCGAACGAAACAAAACTAGACTTGCATCGCTAACAGCAGTCAATTTCAAAAAAGGCGCCTCCAAGTTTCGCGAGCACATCGAAGAAATTATCACGAACAGCGACATATGCGAGAGGCGGGACCTGGTGTTGCCTTTGATCCAAAACAAGGTTACACGAGAGAATGTACAGCAATTCATTGTTGCCAACCTCTCTTTGTCTAAAGCCCACTGTCGCAATCTAGCAAAGGCAAACATGACCACAATCTTCCCACAGCTTTTTATAGCAGTAGTTGGTGCCGTTGTCATTCCCTCAGAGACTACAGCGGCCATTCTCGCGACAATTAAGGAGATTTGCACCAAAACTGAAAGTGTCTTCAGTACAACTGTGCTTGGTCGGTTTCTGCTCTTTTTATATGCTAGTGCTAACAATAACAGAAGCAGTGACTGAAGGATATGCAAATATCGCTGTGGATTTCGATAAATTAACAGACAAGCACGGAACTAAACGAATGCGTCTTGAGAACGACTCTAATTTTATGCATGCTGTACACGCCAGAAGCTTCAGCCCTTTGAAATTAGCAAATGAAGCGATTGATGACGAAATCGAATCTGACGAGCCTCTGAATATGATTGCACGCCGTAAGTCAGGCGAAAAGTTTTTGTACACAGGTTGACTCTGAACAGAGATCGTGATTCAATTTAGTGCCGCTGAAGCAAACCGCCTGGAAGGAGTCTTTGGACCTTCACCACTGCTGGAGGCTGTTAAGAGAAGCCGCCAGTGGCGCTGGGAGAGAGCGAAGGACGAAATATCATCGAACCTCCGGCAGCAGCAGACCGATTGCATGATTGCGTTGATACCGGACTCAAATGATCAGGACTTCTCTTTCGTAATCAGAGTTGGGTATTCGGTCGGATGGCAGATCGTGAAATATCTCAACTATGGTGAGTCGTCTGAGCAGACACCGACGGCTGTGTAACAGGTCTGCTTCGTTGCAATACAGTCGTCACACGTCAAAGACAACCTCAGCATTGTACACCAAAACTGTATCTCCCTTGTTTACCTCCCATCCACGCTCTCCTGTTGTCTTCGACGTTTTTTCTGCATGAGTTTGCCCAGCCCGCGTAACAGAAACCATCATGCCACTTGCTCGCACACTCTTTTGCGTTGTTACAGTAAAAGTGTGCGGACCATTGATGTATTCTTTCTTCCCGCGGACTGCATCGGCACCCACTTCGGGCATGGCGCTTTGAAACACGGTAATCTCGATCGGACTGGACGACTGATCGCTGTAAGTAGTATTCTGTGTATGTTCTACAGTAAATGACGATTGCGAAGCGGTGGTGTTTTTGTATCAGCCTGCGCAACATCTTGCGCCTAACAGTCTTGTCAATGGCGAAGGCATGATTTTGAGAGGGCCCCGCACGTGGCTCCGAAGTTGAGGCCCAACTTATGACTCGAAATGAGACTGCATGTATGAGCTAGCGAGTTTCGGGAATCACAGGTCACGTCCAGTACAGTCGACTATACAGGTCGCCATGCGGACTTCGGCGCAGATTTCTGTCCGGGCTGCGTTGAAGAAGTTTGGCTGGGATCCAGCCTTACTACCGGTACGAATTTCTCTTCTGATAGACCCATTATGGTGAGGAAAAGTCACTGGGCTGTCAGCTACTGTAGGCCAGATCGTTTCGGTGGACGTTACGCAACACCTCAATCTGCTAATGCTGAACTAGCACTACACAACCTTCGCACGATCGTGGTGTGCTGTCTTTGTGCTACTTTTCTGGCCTAAGGCATGTACGAGGACGTTAGTGTTCATGCTTCAGAAACGACATGCTTTTCTACCCACGCCTCGTGCATTGCATTTGACCATCGCTATCACCTTTGCAAGCAGATTCGTTTGAGCGTCAACACTTGCCTGCCTGATTGGCCTAGCGGGCTCGAAGGAGTGACATGCAGCTTTGCCGTGCATGCGACCAGCGCCGCACAAGTAAATCAAGAAAACACCATCGTTCCATGATGGAAGGTGTAAAGGGACCCTTGATCTCCCTATATGACTTTATGTCGATTTTCCGCGAACCTCGTCTACGTACCTCCCAATTTGTTCACCCAGAGGTATAAAGAAACCAGTAATCTCCTTCTCAAATCTGCTAGATGGTCTTCTCCAAAATGTCTGTTCACCTTTTCCCGGTCAGCAAGCGCGACATCACCGCCTAATTCTTCCAAGCATAGCCATGTCTTCGTCCAAATCACCAAAGAACAGCAAAGCCACTCGGGTTCACTCTACCAAGATTGTGGACTCACCAGTTGCTGCGACGATTGACTCCTCAACCATGCCATCCCAGTTCAACAAAAAAGACAGCGGTGCTCCAGTAACTGCTAAGCCTTTATCAGAAGACAAAAGCACCAAGCCGTCGAAACCTGAATCCGTACCTGCATCTACTCCTGCTCTGGAAGAACAAGTCCCATCTGATGCTGAGAGTGACTCGGGTCAAGATGAGATCTCACCAGCCGGTCCAGATACACAACTCTCGGCTCAGGAGGCAAAACTGGTCAACGTGTTCCGACGCACAGTCAAAAACGTCAGTGGCGAACCTGCTGCAGCCAAGTCAGCAGCAGTAGCAACTGCTGTATCCTCAAAGGAAGCATCGAAGCCAGCTCGTGGATCTCGCCTGGAACTCAAGGAAGTGTACGAAGCGTAGGTGCTGCTGATGATTGTCCATCGCCATCGTGTTGCGCTGACCACGTCTGCTGCTAGCTGGGACACCAAAACCTTCGCTTACAAACTCACTGAGCCCTCGCACTCGTCAAACATTACCGAGCTAGAGACCTACGCCTTTGTATGTCGCGTCCGTATTCGTGAGTATCTTGGACCAGTGTATCCTCAGTGGACATATTTGACAAGTGAATAGTAAAGAAAGATGAACAGCGAGTGTACTACGTGGACATCCATGCTACTGGACTGCGCGACATGCTCTGTGAGGTGCTTAAGGACGTGCATTGGGTCAATCTCAAAGTCGAGAAGTTGGAGGTACGTAAACCACCGGACGCAAGTGCCACCCGCTGAACAAGCATGACTAGCTCGAGCAGAATCTGTTGTACCACTACTTGCCGACCTTGCAGAAGTACCTCGACAAGTGCACTCAGGATAAGACCTGGCCGCAGGTAGATCGCGAAGCCCTTAGATATCTGCTGTGCACCATGAAAACGCGTACAGCCGAGACCACGGCACGACTCCAGTCCTTGCTCGAGACGGGTAGGATTACCTATGAGCTGCTGTGGGCGCTGTTTCCACCCAACACACTCGTGCTCACCATGTGTCCAGGCAGCCACCAAGTCCGGTGTCTGCGCTTTCAGTTCGCCTACGAGGACAAGACCGAGCAAGGCGTGGAACATCTGGCGTTGCAGTGCGAGTACATCGATTATGATGGGAAGATTCTGGGTTGGGTTGCCGAAGACCTGCATCTGGACCGATTTCATGGTACTCTCCCAATCACCTCCCTACCAGTCTACCCCATTCACTATTACCCTGATCCACAAATCGATCAAGTTCTGGCCCATCGAGGTCGACGATTCATCGGGCTAATGGGCAGCCATCACTGCATGTATCGTGGTACCGCCTTTCTGCAGATCAAGGACGGCTACAAACGCCTGACCATTCAGTCCAATATCATGGTCGACGCCAGCGAGTTTAGCAAGACCCATCCCGGCTACACTCGACTAACCACACGACATGTACAAGTGGAGTATCTCTTTCATCAAGTCACACAGTCGCATCGGGTCATCGGTCGCAGTCTCAGCCCTGCAACCTTGAGCGACAACGAGCTTATGATGTGTCCGCCCACGGTGCTCGGATGTGGTCTAGGACTCAAGTTTTGGGGTCAGTAAGCCCTCGTCATGCGGGATCGTAACCAACGCTGACCTTTCGATGTATAGGCGAGTTTGTCGTCGACCATATTCATCGCATTGATTGGCCTTCTGCTCCCTTCGATCGGGTCGCCATTCCACGCAGTATCAAGACCACTTTGATGAGCGTGACGCAACAGTACTTTAGCTCACCTCATGGTGAGCCAGCTGCGATGCAAGAGATAGGCACAGTCCGCCGTGGCATTCGTATCTTGCTGCAGTAAGTTTTCTCTCCTTCATTCTTTTTCCTTTACGCCTCTTGGACTTCAATGGGTCGTTGAGATCCTATCATTTCAACACCCTGTCCGTCCGCAACGTTCCGACCTGTCCACCCAACCAACTCTCCTTGCTGTTATTCTGCTTTGGTTCATCTGCGACCTTCCTTGTCCCACAGCCGATTAAATGACTGATCTTATCTAGCGGCCCTCCAGGAGTGGGCAAAACCCTGACCGCTCAGGCTCTCGCCTGTCACCATCAACGACCCTTGTATCCGGTAAGTGCGATCATCGTCGCCCAAACCACGACCTACTGACGAGAGAAGATTTCCAGCGCCGACCTGAGCTCTGACCCCCACGAGCTGGATACACAACTGCCCCAGTTCTTCCGCGCGGCTCTCGCGTGGAATGCGGTGCTGTTGATGGATGAAGCGGACATTTTCCTCCAGGCACGCACTCCGACTACGCTCGACCGAAATCGACTGGTGGGCATCTTCCTGACGCGCTTGGAACAATTTTCGGGCATCATGGTTCTTACCACCAATCGTTTGGATGACATAGATCTGGCTATCTTGGACCGCGTGCTCCTGAAGATTGTATATCACCCACTGACTCCGGGTGCGAGACGTGACGTGCTCCAGAGTTTGCTCAAGACCATCCCTGACATTACGGAAGAGCAGATGGAAGGCTTTGACGAGGCTTTTCTCCAGCGATTTACGAGGATAAAGGCCAACGGCCGTCAAGTAAGCCTCTGCTGTTCTATCCCTGCTTCTGTGTAACTAACCTGCCACAGATCACCAACGTGTTTGAGGTGGCCACAAGGCTCGCGGAGGCCTCAGGTGACGCCTTCCATCGCCACCATCTGGAAGGTGCACTGGAGGTCAGCGGGTTGGTGTTGCCAGGAGAGGATGCTGAAGAAGACTTGTACGACGACTGAGCATCCCCTTGCGTAGGGATGTCAGTAGAAAAGCACATGCTAGCAAGGACATCGGGACCTCAGAAATATAGAGTGCACCACCGTTAAGGGGGAGCGAACCATCATGAAGCCAACGCCCCTGGTTCGTCCTTCACGCTACTTTTGATATCATGGCGCGATCGTCTAGGTCGTCATGCTCGCATGACGATATCTCTGGAGAGTGATGGGATTTGACTGTAGAAGGGACATCCGTTTGACCCTGAATGTTGGTCTTCACATGTGACCATGCTTGATACAGCAAGAGCATTCGAGCTGTCTTGGTGACGACAAGTCTCGCCCGTGCATAAGCTTGAGACGATGTCTGATCAACTGATAACGCCATTCAGTGGACACTTCTGCAGAGGTGTAGTGGACACGGCTGAGGGGGGTGAGCATAGCGTATATGTCCTGTTCCAGATAGTGTCTTGCATTTCGATGTCCACCAAGACCACCTCGGTCCCACTTCCACAGTGTCGATAGGAGTATAACTGTTGGTCCATCTGGAGTTGCTGCTTGGCCGTTGCTCACCTCTTTAGACCTTAAACAACCATGGGCGATGCTGCTGCTGCTCTGCAAGTACCATCTCCTCATCCAGACGACTCAGACGACTGGTCAGACATCAGCGAAACTGAAAACAAACGAAGAACGGCCCGTGCTCGTAGGCGTCGGCAGCAGGAGCACAACCCTCGCCGTTCGGTCCAGAAGCCTACGGCGCCAACAAGTCCAGAGACCTCCAAGCCGCCACAACTCGAGTTTGGACGTTGCACTGATCGACCACGCTTGACATCTCCAAGATCGCTGATCACTCTAGCCCTCCACAAGCACAACGATCATGCTTCGTCAGACCGGCCGCAGATTAGACAGGCGACAAGCGCAACTGGGAGTATGACGCCTCGAGACGATTCGACAGCACGGCGCAACTCCTTCTCGGGTGCTGATAGGACCACGCACCACGATGGTATTTGTGCCCTATCCTCCTGCCCGATCTCCAACGTTGCCGGCAAAGTGCTGACAAAGTGGGAGGTCCACGACAGCGTGATAGAGCACGAGCAAGGTAGGGGATTGGCGAAGGAGATTCTTTTCGAAAAACACTCTTCTCGTACCCAGAAAGTCACATACAACCGGCACCAGGCGCTGAAGCAGGTACCTTACGATCTTCATCCCAGAGTGTGGTAGTGAAATGGACCAAGATAAGGACTCGTCGATGTTGGTCGTCTACTGTATAGGTCTGATCATGTACCAGTCATCTGTCAATCTGGTCAACGTAGACGTACAAACCGGCATCTAGGATCACGGCCCACAATTCCTTGATATGCTCTCGATTCGCAAAGGAACCAGATGGATTGGGCTGGACACTATCGTAACGTCAGCAATGGAACATATCACTGTACTTGGAACCACGTCTTGGCGCAGACCTTAGCAGGAACGAATAGCTTTCCTCTTCCTCTTCCTCTTCCTCTTCCTCGGTCGAGTATGTTCAAGCCTCAGCAAATCAAGACGTTATTGACAGCGGGTATCCCATCAGAGGCTGGCAGTGGTCGAGAAGTGGTGTTTCCATGTACGTCGCACGTGGCAGACATTGTCTTTGTGCCGAGAGTTCGTTCTGTATATCATTGTTTGCATGGGTATAGCTTCTTTCACGATAGTGTAGTTCCCATGCGGCTCTCATCCACCACACTCAGAGGCATCTCGATTGTAACACTGGTCATATTGGTGACCATCAGCGTGAGCATTCATGATGCATGTGGTCACAGTCAACATAGAAGAAAAGGGGGTGTTTCAATCAGCTTGCCTAAGCAAGACGTCAACCCAAGCTCATTTGGTCACTTGGGTCTAACCATGTTTTGCAGTGCACTGTGACTCTAGACGATGTGATTCCCGACCTGTATCAAGCATTCTCGGGTCGCTTGCAAGCATGCATTGGTAGCAATGATCACCATTGCTGTTGTGTCAGCCCCAGGTCTCGCAACACAATCGTTGATCCTGTCTGGTAAGGCATTGGAGGACAAATCTGTCACATTGTGCTTATGTGTAGCCTTGGTCGTCAGCCTCGTCAGGTGACTGTTTGAGCTACTAACCTTTCAGTCTCGGTCGCTTGTTTCGTGCAGTAGGGCGCTCACACCTCTTCGATTTACACCGGTCTAAACGTCTCACGTCGCTCAAGTCTGCCTCTGTCCATATACGAACGCATTATCCGCCTCAGACCAGCGAGCGAACCTCGACTATGCCACCAAGAACTAACGTCAGAGCACTCGGGTCCAAAGGAAAAGATGGAAAAAGAAACAAAGCGTACAACAGAACTGAGGTGCCATCAGGAAGAGAGCGAAGCCAAAGAGTCTACACGTATCTGTTGACCGTGGTCTCGACAACAACCAAATCAAGTATATGACCACTTCTTGCCGCGGCTCGGATGCCCACGATCTTGTGTGGTGTTTCTGACCGCGTTTGTTGGTATGCATGCTATGGTGGCCCGCCTTCTAGTGGCAGGTACTAGCTGCAACTTCTTGCGGTTTATTCTCTGCCTGCTGCTCGAGCACTCTTCGTCTCTGGCGGCGAAATGTATCAGAAGTCTGATAACATACGATTTTGATTACAAAACACGTTATTAGAAAGGCTAGATGTGGTTGCGCGGGGTTGGGAATAGCGGTCACAGGAGAAGCCAGCTCGCAGTTCAGTATGTGAATACCGTGTGAGTCGACGAAGATGAAGTAGGTCTTGGTCAAGAGAGCTCGTGGAATCAGCAAGTACTGAACATTTTCTGGGAGTCCACGAAAACCCGATTTTGCCCATAACCACGATCTCAAATTACATCTATTTTCCTGCATCGATTTGTTCCCCTTTGCTGATCTGACCCAGTACGAGTAGATATATGCCTGTACAGTAATCGAGTCGCTCGTACACGTTAGGGAACGATCGCCGCATGTCGGTATTCGAGTAGATGCTCTCGGTGGCTTCCTTGTCGTTCTCGTATTGAGCTAGCCGTACGAGCTTCATAGCTTCGAAGTGAGTGTATAGATCCGTTATGTCGTACTGACCGCGTCCAAAACGTTCTTCTGCGCGCTGATTTACCTCAGCCAAGAGCAGCCGGAAGTCCCCTTGCAGCTTCGCTTTCAAGCTCTGCTGGGCTAATGGGAGCATCAGTCTGCCGATCCTTATCACGTTGTCATACGTCGCCTCTAGACGATGGTGTCGTCGAGCACGAAATTCGCAGGCCATGCGAGCTTTACCCCTAGCGAGTGTGGTGTGGTGTGGTGTCGGTGATGGAAGGTGATCCCCAATCTCGGTGGACAATACTGTGGCAGGAGACGCTATCTGTTGTACAAAGACCATTTCAGGATCTTCATCGTCGACGGTAGTGACTGGAGAAGGCGATGCGATTTGGTATGTGGCCTGAGAAGCCATATATGGCGATTCCCGTGCCTTTCGTGGGTTCCAAGACGGTACGGTTGGTTGAGCGGATGAGGGTGAGTCTACGCGACAACGTTGGCCATCTTTCTGTGTTTATGTTCTTTCTTTAGGACGAATGTATCTCGGACTGGCCATGATCTCGATATGCCGCGGTGGAGCAGCGCCTGATATGTTGGACCATGCCTTGAACAGAAAGCAGCCTGGACCATCTCGACCAGATGTTCTCAAATTGCTAATAGTCGTAGGCAAAATATTAATGTTTCAGCCCAATCAGACCGCTTAGCTAGGGAAATCTGCTCAGCCGGTGACGCTTTAGCCTCAGTACTGTCTCTAGTTCCAGTAGGAATTTGTGCTGTTTGCTACAAGGCTAATTGTTCCGGTACTTCTACTAGTCTGTGTGATGTATCCGCTCTCACGAGTTCCTATGGAACGAGCGAGGTTGTGATACATTGTTAGCTATCAGAGACGGTATCGCAGGTGTATAGTATTTTTCATTTTGATATACGGCGATTTCAATTCCTACCGTTCTCGTCCTGTGGAGCACGACGACACAGGAGTAGCTAGCGCAAATTATAGATCCGATATGCTGCGGAAGCTAATGTCTGTGCATGGGTACTTTCGACACCCAAGTTGAACGACCGATAAGTCGTGCACTTCTGGATTATGCGGCATCGTACATCCGCAGTATGTCACGAACCCATGTTACTCCCGACTGCTTTGAGCGAGAAGAGTCCGTCCGGCCTTGTGATTGTTCCATGGCGAATGCCAAGCCATCACCGAGGAAAATAGTGCGTTGATGCTGTGGATGTCCATGCACCCGAAGCTCGATTCGGATTGCTCATCTCTGAACGTACCCTGCTGGTAACGCGAGTCTGTTTGCTGGCCTCCCGTAGCAGATATGACAGATCCCAACCATCTGAGCTGTGCTGGAAATGGTCTACATCATGTCGGCCTGACATTCTTAGATGTTAGATATCAAGTATGGCCACAGTCATTATCTCTAGGCGCAGCTTAGAACAATACCTGGTTAGAGTTCAAAACAAGTCCGGCAAAGACGAGGGCCCAGCAGCGACAGCACAATCAATACAGTGTGGATCGACATCCCTGAGAACACCGCAGCTGACCATTGCGGCACGATTCATAGAAAGTGCACGCCACACAGCTCTTGAAGCGTTACTATGAGGGAAGAGAAGCAGGACGTGACGGTCTCAAAATTTCTCAGTCAGCCAGCAGTATATGTAGGCCGGGTCGTGTGATAAGAAACGACGTCTGCCTCTGTGTACTCAAGCGCGTTTATATAGCACAACTTGGTTAGCTAGTCTGTCTGGTTCCTTTGGTCATCTGACCACCTACCGGGCTTCGCTAACCATATATGTACTCTCTGAACACCGGATTATCATCGATATCTTTCCACAACGATGGTTAATCATCGCCTAACACCGCCTCAAGAGAGCTATATTGGAGCGACAGCAGGAGCACAAGAGGATGACGACCTGGACTTGCTTCGGAAATGGTTTCTGGGTCGAGGTATAAACATTGAAGAGGTCCTCAACAACCACAACCGTGTACAACAAGCTATCGAAGAAGATGCAATATTTCTTAACCGCGCTAAAAATGTGATCGATAATTTGCCAGCGTCTGAAATCAACGAGGCACTTGATCGTTTCCTCAAAGAATTTAAAGAGGAGGCAGAACAGGCTCAGGCTGCATCAGCTGCCATCTTGGAATCGGGAAGCCTATTCTGTAACGGAAGAAGTATAGCTTGCTGCTTTTACGACAGGTAGCTGGTAACATCGCATACACATTGTAAGAGCACTATCCGAGTCGAGCTCAACCTAGTAACTATGAGTTCGCGTTGTAGGATCCGGCCCACGCTCTCTCTTACCGCTGTTTCGCGATAGACTATGGGGAGCGTGACCAAAGAACTTCGATAATTGCTTCTGGTTATGTCAGTCGAGATCAACACGCCACAAGTGTGCCGCTCGCGACGTGTGGCACCACTCCTCATCCATACAACGACCATTTGATGTGGTAATTTCCTTGAAGAATTTATCGCTGGAGAGCTGCCCTGGCTCCGCACGCCTGTCTTAGCATTACAACCTGTACGGGCAAACGATCAAGAAAGCACTGCACATGCTCCAATCTTAGCTTGACTGCTGAGAAAATATGGCTCAGCTGAATCGGGATGTCCATGGTATCTCTTCTAGTTGGTTGGTCTGAACGATGACTCCTTCTTTCTAAGCTAGTGACTCTGAAGCAAGGCAAATACATCAGTATAAGGCCAGTGCACTCCGTGATGCGAGTAGCAAACACTTCCTCCAGTCCACAACCTCCTTCCCCCACAACATGGCTCTTCCTGTAAGGTGGCTTCCATACCCCGACAAGCTGAGATTCAAACTCCAAGACTCGACATGGAATGCTGAACTACGAAGATACCTAGTCAACAATGAGATCGACGAAATACACGCGCAACTACTTGATGAGTACGACGGACAGGTGATGGTAGCTTGGACGGAACACTTGGCAACAATTGAAGCCTTGTTTATTCAGCCGACAATGCTCCAGGTGCTGAAGGAGAGCTTTAAGCAAGCGGTGCAAGAATGGCTAGATGGCGTCACTCAGCCATACTACGTTGTACTTGCCGACAAGCCCCTGTATTGGGACTTCAAATCGATGGTTGGGAAGGAAGTGGAAGCAGCTGTCACGCGGCTCCCATCCGGACGAGCGTGTTTCGGATCCGGTGCTCTTCACTCGGACTACGTCTTGGACGAGTGGAATCTGGAACACGGCCATTGCAAGTTGACGTCCAAAGTCGATGATTCACAATGGCTGATCGAGGATTTAGAGGCGTGGCAGTTTCTTAAGCGTCAGGATATGCTGCAGCTTGTGTTGAACTGAATGGAAACTTATGGTGTCAGTCCTTCCCTCCTCAATCCAGCTGCCGTTTGAGTCGATAAAACAAAGCTAACAGCAAGCACAGTCCCACAGTAATGCTCTCGATGAGCCTACTAGAGAGAGGTGACACCCTGTATAAGACAAATTCAATACGAGGACTCTTAGAGCCAAAGTAGCAGCAAACAATCTCGCTTGTGGAAAGAACCAGTAGGATCATAACCTCAGTGGCTGCACTACGGTCGTGCCAAAAGTCTGGAATCGAGAGCCGGATCAGGCTCGAATAGAAACTGACTTTCTCGACGTGTAGTGTTGTTGCGAGGTCCAGCCCGAACATGACCTGACTGATATCAGCTGACGACCTCATGTAACAGAATTGGTGAATTACCCTGATCAGGCTATACAGCGCAAGTGAGATATGTGCCGGAATTAGTCGCTACTCTATACTGGACTAGTAGGTGCCGAGTGAAATGCTGGAAAGACAGATATAAAGAAGTGAACGTGCAGCAAAGAGGCGTCTGTCGGTCCTAGATGTCCCTTCGAGCTTAGTCGAACGAGCAAGCTGACGGCAGTGGAGGAGTCTAAGAAGTTGTACGAAGATCACCAGACACTGTAGCGTCAATGTAGCTGTGTAGAGAGCTCCGCCCGCCATGTCTGATGTGTCAATGAATGTCGGTGACAGAAGGCAAAGGCTAGCTGGCACAGTCGACACAAGGCGCCTGTCCAATTTATAGTCTGCAAGCCATATCGAGGTTGGATCGGTGTGGGCCAGTATGTCTTCGTGGGTTGATAGTCGACGAACTTAGACGAACGCCACCATCCTAGTATCCAAGAGAGATCGGGCAGCCAAGGTCCAGCCAACCATCTCGAATGGGGTGTTGCTGTTCCTGTCGTGCTTGCGACAATGATTCTAAAAAATCCAAAGATATGTGCTGGCGGCTAAGTCTAGAACTACCACTAAGCATAGTCAGGCAATTATGCGACAATAGTAGAAGCTCGATCGTTCTTAACTTGTGCTATATTGACGGATCAGGAGCCGTAAATTAAGTCCAAAACGCAAGCGCGAGATCGGTGTAAGACCAAAACTCCTCGCAAGATAGTGAGTTGAGGTTTAACCGATTATACTCACATGGTACGAACGTATCTAGATCATTGGACTCGGCTCAGAAGCAACAGAGTGGCTGGTATCGCGAGGGGTTCTGTGACATTCGAAGCATTGACGCGTATTGCAGAACTTGCACACGTACCAAGGTTTTGTGATGCACCATTGAGTACACTCTTTGCAGATTAAACAGAGTCCAAAGTTGGACAGCTTCGTAGACACATTTTGAGACAGCCTCTCTTCGTCGTACACATGACTGTCGCACGCAATATGACGGCGCTGAATAACGCTTTTTGTCATTTTTTGATATTCGGAAAACTGAACCCCGAGGTTTACCTCGTCATAGCAATATTCAGGAGATGCGTAGCATAGGCGATGAATTCTTTTGAGTGGCTTCGTGTTCAATCCGACGACGAGGGATGCTAGAATCGCTCTTGTGTACTTGGAACAATTGGAGAGTTTATCCTCAGCCCAGAGACGTTGTATCCGCAGCCGGACTTCCAAAGGTAGTTTCTGTATACACTTAAGTATACTGTCACCGCGCTCGATCTGGAATGAGGTAGCACTGGGAACCTTGCAAGCGTGCATCGTAATCGCCATATAGGTGTTGATTGACTGAGCCCAGGTTTCGATGTGACTAGGATGCCACCAACGTGCAAATTCGCAATTTGTGATGGTCAGATGAGCTAGTTTCTTTGGGAGTTTGACTGGAAGGTCTGCTCTGGGGAACAAGAGAGTCAGCGGTGCTTCGACACTTCTGGCTGCTGGGATGGTTGTAAGAAGGCTAAGACGGTTGACGTCTTCCGACAGTGTCTTTAAGTTTTCGGGGTTGCAAATCACTTCGACACGATCCATGTGATCAGGTAAATTCACGAGATCGGTGGCCAATCTCTCAGTATATGGTCTCCCTACTGTATCGTAGGAGAGTTGTAGCTGTTTGAGGTCTCGACACTGTCTCAACAGCAGATCTAATGTACCAAGGCAACCTTCGATATGTAGTTCACTGATCCGCAACCTCGTAGAGAGGTCGTAGGGAGATGGTGTTGGGAAGTAACTAATGTATGTTGTAGTTTGAGCGGCACGCGTAATATGCGTATAACACATTGACGGATTCCGACCGTAAAAAAGTGTGTGCAGTTCCGGAAAGGCTTCTTTGGAAAAGACTTCTTTCGTTGTGAAGGATTTGATGTAATTCTTTTGGCAGAGCGGTGTCAGGTAGTCCGCTTCCTGCGCAAGGCTCTGTGTTAGCACAGAACATATTTCAAGTGTAATACTCGGAGACTGCGGTAGATGCCGTAGTAATGCCTCCAAATAGTGGTTATACTGCTTGGCCAGACATCGCCTGTCTTTGGCTGATAGGACGAAGCATTGACAGTCGTGCTGTAGATAAACATTTTCCAGCTCCATATTTCTGTTCTGAAATTCCATAGCTTGCGTACATGCATCAGTAGTCGTTTCTGATAGGGTAATCTTTGAGATGTCAAGCCTTAGAGTCATGGTGCTCTCGTTGTAGGCTACAAAGTAAAATCACACAGAGTGTCTAACTGTTATGAGGTGCCAAAAGGCTAGGATCGTGGACGAAAGGACCCTGCAGACGATGAGTCCTCGTATATATCATAGTAGATATCTGAAGAGGTGTCCGATGCTTGCGAAATTACTGCATATTCTGAGATCGGCCACTGAGCTGTTGCCATACTGAGTCAATGATTCTGATCGAGATGATGGATCGTCCAAGGTTGTGTGGTAGGTGATGCTTGATAGTGGCGCAATAAGCTTTGAAAATAACATACCTACCTCTCGATACTTTCAACCCTACTAAGAGACTAGCCGAAAGGACGGTTTTTTCTATCTTCCAGGCTCTCCACCTTGTGCCACTTGGACAGTCTCCAGTAATTTTGTTCAGCCTGCACCTGTTCTGACATCCTTGCCGGTAGCAGCACAGGTGGCGGTAGAGGAGGTGAATCTGATCTGTTTGGTGCTAGTGGTGATGTGCGTGGCAGGTGTGGCGTAGGTGACGATACTGGCGGAGACATGTTTATGCCAGTGACCTCTGCTGATACGCCATGACTGCGAAGTGGTGGACAAAGGAGGCAATGGGATACCCACGATCGTAGCTTCAGCCAGCTCGTAGCGAGCTTTCGTGTTGTGGTCGATGATTGCTCCATGTCCCACTCCATTCGTGCCTCCTCCAAAATGAAATAACTTTCTTGAGCGTATGCCATACGAGAGAACGGCGGAACATATTTTACTATGTTCTTGGCTATCTCTAGAGGTATGGATGTGGACGCCATCTCTAATCGTCAACATCAACACAATCACGATCGAAAGGGAGAGGGAACCATTGCGCAGCGTCTGAGCAGAATGAGCCGTGCAATATGTGATGCGTGACCAGTTTCTATCAACCTGGCACTAGTGGCGTCGGGCTAAGAAGACCCATCAGCGATGATCGATGATCGATGATCGGCTATTATCTCACGTGACAGTACACACCATACGTACAGTACTTGCCGTTCGAACGCCACCTCCCCTGTTCCCTTGTGGAGCGCATCGCCAATCACTAGTGATGGCCGAAAGTGACGGTCAGATAGACGAAACGAAAATCAGCCACGTCAGCACGCTAGTCACTGAGCTGCAGTGGACTTGGAAAAAATGGAAGCATTTTACCGTGAGAAAGTCCTCGATGATTAAGCTTCCACTCCTGACATATACAGAATGTCGCCAAAGAGGTACACGCGAAGATGACGGTCTCACGCCCGTCGACATGGGGCAATATTGAGAAGGAGTGGACCGCCGTTCCCCCATCCCATGTGGAAGAGGCAATCAATTCCCTCAGAGAACGCACGAGTGATTTATTTGACAAGGATCTTCCCGCCAGCAAGGTCGACTTTGCACTAGACGACAGAATGCGTCGGACACGGCGATCGTGGCGCAACCACCAGCGCGAGACCAAAAAGTGGTCACAGGCTAGCCTAGGAGGGGGAGCTGCGATGCAAGTCGACCAACTGGAAGGGACGCCGCCAGGACCCCAGACGAGCCAAGCTGTACTACCTAGACCAGTCCGAACGATGGACATTGCGTACTTGCTGCGGCCAGATGAAGAGTAGATTTCCAGCGCGTTCTTGATTAATTGCACCTGCCTCTCTGTCCTTCCTTGGTCTTGCTGTCTTAGATCTGTGTTCCGTGATATGTCAGGTCCACTTCTAGAACTCGCGACTGAGTCGAAGCCATGCTTGGAGTACGAAGTGGTAGTCTACGAGGGAATACGGGTAGCGAAGTTTCAGCCGCAGTCTGGTCGCTCCAAGACCTTCATTCTCTGGATTGCAGGCAGTACGAGTGTCTGAGCAAAGGACGCTTTTTTCCATTGACACATTTCAGGCTGTTTTCAGACAATCAGACTTGGCAGCGATCGCAGTCTTTGTTCACGAATGGCTATAGGTAGGTGTGGGGTCTTTAGTCCAGTCTTGCTAATATCTGTAGACACGGGTTGCGATGTCTTCGCTTTGAGCCTGACTTCACGCGAGACCACCATACTCTCATGCGAATCGATGTTACATCAGGTCGCTACTGTCGTCGACGTTCTCGGCAGACTTTACGACCAGTATAGAATAGGTGGTGTTTCAAGGTTGGTTGTAGAAGTGACTCAGTTTCGAGCATTAGCTGACCACGCATAGTGGCGGAACGATTGTCCTGCTCTTTCTCCAGAGGCTCGGTCTTCGACCACCACCGACGAAAGTCGTCGTGGTGGCGCCTGTAGTGCGACTAGATGAGAAGGCTCTGTGGCGTACAAGTGAGACGCCTGACAATGCACACATGGCTTTGTTGGGCAGACTGTGCAAAGCCACAGAGTCGTTGAACGAGGACCAGGCCAAGTTTGTCAGTCCATACCATCAAATGATATCTTCACAGGATACATCATTTAGGATAGTTCTGTTCAGGGAGGACATCTTGTATGCCGACGCGTTTGCATACTTCCAGAAAACACAGTGTATGAATTTGACAACATATGAAGGTCCCCATGATTTACTTAGGTGGGACATGGTCAAAGAACAAGCACGGGAAGCTAGGGAACACGTCTGCCGTTCTTTGTCTTGAGAGAGCACTACGAATATAGAGCAACAGGTAGCGACACGTTCGTGAAGTACAAGAAACCTTTTGACCTCGCTCATGCTATCTCTATTTTCTAGGTCCTAGACCTCCGAAACGTCTCACAAAACCGTCCATAAGTGCAACGAACATTATCAATATCCTCTTCTCGTCAGTATTCCTGTCCACCTCGTTCATGGAAGTCGAGTCCGGGCATGGATGCACAGATTGTCTTGTGGTATGGCGCCAGGAAAGTCTGTACAGGCATGAAACCCTCGCGCCAACTGATTCAGGGCCACATTGAGGTCAGACAGACTGTAATTTGCTTGTCTCATGAAGAGGCTCTCGAACTTTTCAAGCTATAGCATGCTGTTCCACGAGTTAATGCCCTCTAGGTAAACTCGAAAGAATACCGGTGTGTGACGATAAGGCACCTGTATGTGCAGCGTTCGAGACCTGACCAATTGGTATGTGTTGTTTTGTAGCAAGGTCTTTCCACCGTCGTCTGATTCTCCCATTGATCCTTCGATGCTGGAACAAAACACCTGCTTGATTGAGTAAGAGAGGTTCAATCTCATCTGTCCAGAAGCAAAATTCGGCTGGTTGGCAGACGCTCACTGACCCGAGAACATTTCCACCCTCGCCAATAGGAGTGCCAAATTACCATAATTCTAAGACGTAGCTGGTGAGCTTGGTGGAAAGAAAACAGCTGCTCGAAAAGCACAGGATTCACTACGTAGCTGATTTTGCACTAGTAGGGAAATCTCTGAACTCGGCTGATTTGTCGAGAGCGACATCTACTAGTGTAGCTCTAAACAAATGTGATGAAGAATCTTGCCTAATTTATCGAGTCGTCCTGAACTGCATCGATAAACATTTCCTCTGTCTAGTCACGATTCTTTTTGCTTTGTTTGTCTATAATCCAACGGGTGGCCATAGTGTCTTGTGATATTTCTGAAGTACCTCTTTCCTCTATATCTGCACACTGAATTAACCTTGTATTAAGTCTAACGTAGTTATTTGAGCCACTACACCCTTGGTCACTACAGAGTAGTCCATTCCTAGGATCAACCAAATAAAGAGGTTGTTGTGTCAGTATGGCTTGTAGAGGTAAAATAGCTACCGTCATGTTGTTCAGGTGGTTAGAGTCTTCTCATGGAAGCCCTCTGTAAATTATTGCTTGCCTAGCATACATTCCACACAGCGCTCATGCCCGCATTGAGTCGTACCTTCACGCCCTTGACACACTAGCTTCTTATTAGAAAACTGAGACTTAGAGCAAGAACAGCACCACGATCGTGGTTCTCGTCTCTGTTGTATCGGTTTTTTGACCTGACCCGCCTGATTTCCCTTCCTTCTCACCAACCTGGCCCTTGCTATATCGCGCCAATCTTCTCGGATGTCCTCCCTGACCTCGTCACTGTCGTCGCCCTTGATCAGCTCGGTCTGGCTTTTTCGTTTTTTCTGAGACGATGAGTCTTCTGTCTTCTTCAGATGAGGAGGGACCTACCAGGTCCCTGGTAGGGATTGACAGTGTAGGCTGCGATGAAGCGGCCATGTCGGTAGAGACTATATCGCTTGATCGCGAAAGTGTTGAGCGAAGGGAGACTTGGGTCCTACGGTCGTTGAGCTTTTGAGCATGGCCATCTTGTTAGACCCTAGACTCGCTATCGACTGTGCGCAGAAACTACCGCCCCGCTAAGCGTCAAGCACATGAGAGACCGCTTGAACAGGCGGCTCGTTGAATTAAACGAGAACACCAGCGGCATGACTTTCTTCTTACACGTACCACATGCTCTCCTTCAGTCGAAGAAGCTCTATTCTGACCCGCCCGACTCCGGATGAACCAATAGCTTGATCGCTGATTCTGAACCCCTGCAGAGCCTGAAGATGTTGGAACTTATGTCTAAGACTTCATCCCCAGCCAATAGCTTACAGTGACCCAATCCTGTTACGCTCACGTTCCAGCCGTGCAGGAGATATTTCGTCCATGGTAACCGACTGTCAAAACCGCCCGCAGGATCAAGTTTTGCTGCAACATGATACTGCAACTTCGTGTCTTGAGTAGCCATCATATAAGACCAGTACACGGGTCTGCTCCTTACTCGTTCCACCACTCTATCGACCCCCAATGACATCGTGCTTGCCTGGATGGTCATGGTGATAGCTCTTTGTAGGCTGTCACACGGTTTTCTTGCAAGCTCTCATGACTTGAGTTGCTGGAGAGGATAGACTGGCAGAGAAGTAAAATAACAATAAGTGGAACCTCAAATCTCGTAGTTCAAAGGCATTATAGAGCTTCAGGTCATTGTGATCCCTCCGGACAGGCGATGATTGGCACAAGCGTTCAAAGGCTAGGGAATGTTTTCAATCTTTGAAGGTACTACTAGTCGCCAAAGTGCAGGACTGCGATGACTTAGCTAGTTCACCTAGGACAATTTCTGCTACCAGCGAGGCCTTATTTTCGTCCCCGCTGCACATTTTGGCAACGATCCCATCTACGCACAGCTAATCTCCGTCGACATTTAACACTTTGATCAGAAGCACATATTGCGGAGCTTCGGAAGGCATGGAACATAGCCTCTTGGCACGAGCTGCCAAACAGTGATAGGTTGCGAAAGCCATATTCTCAGCGTGCTGCAGGCAACAAAAGCCTCTGGTCAGCCTCTGGTCGCATACTAGCGTCTGACTTTGAGTGAACAAGGACGAGTAGTGACTAATGCCTAAAGTAGGCAGGAATTGTATCCACTTAATCCGGATTTGGGGAAATCCGGATTAAGTGGATATCTTCCACATCCGATCATGCGTGAACCGCGAAGCTGAGGACCCCACAGATGGGGCATCTGATCGAGGCTTGTCAGCGCACTAATGCGGTTGCTCAGCTCCCGCGGTGCACGAGTTATGCTATCCATGATGTACTTGTGCTGTGAAATATGCCAGAACAGTCACGTTGGCCCACTCTCCAGCCGACATTTATCCCATGATGCAAGCTATCATAGAGCTAGTGACAGGCTCACCACTAAGAATACTTGTTGTTCTAAATTCTTACAGGGAAGCGTCACTAAAGTAATGAGCCCTCAACTCTGAAAAGTGGGCGGGCGCTACGGTTCTGGTATAGATTGTAGTAACAGCAATCGCGGTTTAATGGCCAAGTCGTTGTTTCTTGAGGCTCAGCAGATTTGAACCTTTCGGAAGAGACTGGTCGCTGTCCTGGAAGGTATCTAAAAAAGTCGGTGAGATGAGTTCGTACATGCTGGTCAGCAGTCCGTGCTTCATGGCTATTCTCGGGGCCCAGGTTCACCACGAGGTCTGTACATCGGTCTGCGGGAAACGAGGAACAAGAAAGAATGCGCTTTTCGGCAATGATCAAAGAGTTGAGGTGTGCGGCACTCTTGTGGAATGCGTCGCCAAACACAAATTAGGCTTCGACAACCTCAATTCCAGCATTGATTTCGGCAAAGACCTTACACAAATAGCGGAGCATATCACAGGTGCTGTCATGGCGGCCTTTGGTACGCGTCGCAAGCGCAGAAGCAAGCAACCAACCAGGAACAAAGCAGAAAAGCTGTCTAAGGGCGCCGAAGAGCTCAGCACGATTGAAGCAGGCAACGATCTGCTTAACTCCCGAGATGTAGCAGTTGCAAATACACACGATGAACTCGTCGAAGCAGAACAGCGAAGTTCTGCAAGAGATGACATTTCTAACTGGACCACGATCAGACACGTTGTCGCTGAAGAAGACGAGGAGGAGGGAGAGGAGAGTATGAATCAGGTAGAATCACAAACTGACGACGGAAATAGTCAAATGCAAGGACAGCAATCACCAGCAATAGACACAAATAACGGGTCAGATCAGACATGGCTATCTGCTCAAACAGGCGGAACAGAAAATCAAAGAAATCACTCTTGCGTCAGTGGAGCAGTGACAGAGGCAGGAACAACTGAAGATCAGATAGAACAGCAGAGTAAGTCGAGGAAAACCATTGAGAACCCCTTGGGAGAAAAGCAAGACGAGTTCGGTCTAAACCATATTGACCACAGGACACACCAGTCAATAGATATGGGACTAGTGCGAAATCGTCAAACCGTCACTGAATGTGTTGGCAGTATAGGAGTATCTACTTCTGGCGCAGGAATGGCATCCATTCCCGACCAGGCCTCCACCAGCGAAGCGTCAAGCGCAACCATGCAGCAAAACACAATAGTCCCTTCTGCAAGGAGGCCGTCCGAGGAGGATGAGAGCCCAGTTGAAGGACTTGGACACATGCCAGAACAGTCTGATGAGGTGGATGCTATCGGAGAGGCTAACCTTCCAGAAGGGGTGATCGAAATACTGGAAAAGTTGCACGGAAAATTGGAGGCTGCGAAATCGCTCATTGCAATGCCTCCACGGCAAGCTCTTGGAACACCTGCAACGTTGAAAGACTATCGTGTCGCGGACCTGCAGAGAGAAACAAAGAAGATAAGCCGTCGAGTTCGACTTCGCAAAGGCCTTAGTGAAAGGTCACTCGCGGCGGGATATCGCCGATTCAGCGGCACGTCAACGAATATATATATGTCCGACAAGCGTCCGCGGAAGGATGATCTGAGGCGTTATTTAAAGCAATTTGAGGTTGAAGACAGCAAGAAAGTCAGGCAGGCGGTCGACGATGGCGACCATCATATTCAGGTCGGACTTCTAGCGCCACAGCTCACACGTTTGCAGCTGCTTAGCTGTTTGAGCTCCTGGGAGAACTCGAAGGAGTCTTTCAAAAGATTGACAGAAGCAGTCAAGGTACTCGTCGAGGCCTCTGTCCATCACCAGGAGCAGCAGTGTTCCGTGTTGAAGGAGTTACTCGACTTCATCTGCACTAAGGATGATTGGATGACACATACTATTTGCTGCTACGAGGGTACGTAACACATCACAGTAGTTGTGAAGTACTATCTTACTGACAAGTGTAGACGAGTCCAAGTTGTCCCGCAGTGCTGTCCAGTTCCTGTCTCAAACATACCCAGAACCTTGCGCTCTTATGTACACGAGGAAGAGGGTGTCCGTGGCGGACGAGGTTGTCGATAACGTCCAAACTGAATCCAAAAAGTCACGAACAAGTCTCCAGAATGCTTCAAGCACTGCCGACGAATCTACCGTTCCAACCCAACCAGCTGTGGTGTCTACCTATACGCTGAGTGGGACTGAAAAGGTTACAAGTCAATCATCTGAGCGATTTGCTTCAGCTGGCCATGGATCAGACCACGTTTCGGTCAGCACTGGCATTTCTACTGCCACTTTCGAATCAGAAGCTCCCGCTAGTAATGGTTCCTCCCCTCGTGATGGCTTAACAGAAGATATTGCGGTGTTCGATGTTTGCTTGCCTGCTATAGATTCGGTGAACGCTTCTGATCCTATCTGGCACAATAACGCGTACGAGGACATGAGTTGGGAATGGGATCACGCCACCCTTTCCAGTGGACAAACCAACGATACTTCAGCACGACCGACTTCCGAATGGAACTACGCTATGTTCTCGAAACCGACCTTCTTGAATTGGTGTCCAACAGATTTCTCAGAATGGGATGTAGCTGTTTGGTCTTACGAAGACATCAACAACAGGTCTACTTTAGCTGGCCGCTCGGATTGGGGACAAAGCTCTTTAACCCGGAGCGACTCTGTGGCTTGTGCGCTGCTACCTATATCCCCAAGACAAGACCCTATTCATCAGACCGCAGCCGCTCGCAATCTAACCAACAGCAATGCGACTACGGCATCAGGTCTATACGTACAATCATTTGAACATTGTGGCATCGACATCGATTATGCAGGAAACGTACAGGCAGGCCCAAATGTTCCTGTGAGCGCCACGAACACCCAACTGCAGCAAGTGCTTGTCAATGACACATCACAAAGTGTTGTGCAGGTACCGTACTTCAAAGTACCTGCGCAACAACCAGGTTGCGGTCAGCATGTTCCTCATCAGATGGTCTCAATAAGAGACACAACAGAGTAGTTGTCGGACTTATTTTTGTTCCTTTCTTGAGCTTGTATGCCTTTCCTACCTCTAAGACCACATCATCTGCTTTGCTTGTTTCTGATACGACGAGTGGTATCGCTACAACGAGGGATCCAGTGTGATAGCTCTTGAGTGCTGCTGACGTGAAGAGGTAACCAGGCGCTTGATACTATTGTACAATTAAACCGTGTTCCTCTCAACACCAGGGCACATTACCTCCTTATAGACTTGAAGATTTGTGACATCGTCGTACTTTTCTTTCATCGCATCTTGACTACTCAATAGCTGTGGGCCCTTTGGCAAGTCTTTCCAGCTCTGACCAGCTAGCCAGTCTGCAAAGCCAGCACACTTGGACCTGTCGATGTCTGACAGACTCTTAATCGTCTCTGCCATCTCACTCCTGCCTGCGCACAAGTACCGTGCTGAAAAAAGTTCTGATGCTGTTGGAGGGGCAATCGCCGAAATAGGCTGCAGGAGGAGAAATATGGTCAGCTGGACCGATGACGCAGTCTCAACCGGCGAAAGCCGAGTTGAACACGACCAAGAGACCTCGATGGGGACAACGTCAAGCCTGAAGACGATACTACAAATTCCTTGATGGGCGAGCGAATGGCATATACGACTATGCGGCGATGAGACAGCGTCTACGTTTGCAACTACGTGCACTTCGCCAATTGAGCATACCAGCTCGCACCACTCGATCAACGTCGCCGCACCCAGCTAGCCTTAACCACAATCTTACAAGCCCCTAACGCCTGGAAGCCACTATTACTTGGGTATCATTCGTCCCTAAAGCAAATACAAGAGAACGACAAGCTTGGTCGATTGAGCCGAGGCCAAATAGCCCCAAACACCTATCGAGGGAACTTTATCATGTCGCTCTGTACAGCTGATTGCGGCATGACCACAATGAAGCACGGTGCTGTTGCTCTTGTCTTCGTGAACTTTCAAGGTCACACCGCAACAACTCCTGATGTTTTCGGCCAGCTTGCGTGAATTGGCGATCTTTCGCTTCAACCGTTTTGCACTTTCCTTCCATATGCTCCACATTGCGAATCACACCTCAAGATTAAAAGAGCCAACCTGTCATAAATTGACGAGGATAAATCGAGACGCAAGCAATAGTCTATGCTTCTTCCGGGTTATAGCTAACACGGCAGGCAGTACTATCTCGTTAGAGGCTGCTGGCTGGACCCTGGCTACCCAGTCTCTCCTGGGTAGAAGTATGGTCGTGACGTTCAATGAGTTTGTTGAGTACTTGAAATGCAAACACGGCCCAGACTGATCTGAACTCGGTATGGCTCGCAGATTATAAAATTGGACGGGCGCCCTGCATTGACTGCATCAGTTAGCCTTCGCCTTCGCCTTCTCTCACCGACCTTGCCTTACACACAAGACATGACGGGCGATGCTTCCCGCACAGCTACATTGACGCTGCAGTGTCTAGTAATCGTTGTTTACCTGCTTATCCTCCTTATTCGCAGCTGCGGTTAGCTTAGTCGATCTCCTAAGCTTGAAGGACCACCTAAGGCTAATGGCCGCGTTGCGCTGATTGGGGCTACACTTTCACTTATCTGTGTCTTTCTTTCCAGTACTTCGCTTGTCATGTACTGGTCTGACGTGGAGTGGTGGCTAGTTCCAGCGTATATCTTACTTACGCTGCAACTTTGCGCTTAGTTCGAAGATCTGAGTCATTGAGTAGTAACCTGGAGACTGCAATGAATTGCGGCCTCGAATACATGAAGAACAAAACATCAAGCATGCTTGTCAACTATATCTGCAGAGTGGGGCAGTGTTCGTCACAGGTTTTGCCTTTTTGCTACCTAATATTTGTACATGACTCCAATATGCTTCTCATCCCCCATTCCATACCATTTCATTCCATTTCAGTGTTTTATAGCAAACACAACGTTACGAATTCTTAGCGTGAGACCTTTAACAACGGAAGACCGTCCTTTCCGCTGCTTTTGTCTGACAACGTATGAACCACATACATAAAGCTTTCTATATTTCAGGTAAGCACCAAGTTGGCACCTGCTGTCATCTGCGTTCCGTGAATCTGTATAGCATTGGATGGCAAATTCAAGTTGTGATTTCTCTGTTCGCCGTTCTAAGAGGCCCACGAAAACCCCTAGTCTGCCTAATCAGCCATCTTTCAGCTACAACGAAGTATGTATCTGCGGTCAAAAGATGGATCTGGGTGACGCATTGTGGATTGACGAACAAGTGTTCTGTCATCGAACTTGTGTGCCTAAACAGCGATATTGCACAGAATGCAGACAAATCACAGAGTGTGCTTCTCAACCTTCCTCGGAAGAACTTTCTTGGTAAGTGTCGATATCTTTTGTGACGACTTCGTGCTGATCTTGGTTACGAACAGTTTGTATTGTGCAAGATGCGAGGCGGCATACAAGAGCTTCAAGCTGGAAGCCTCGAAGGGTGTTGTCCTACCAGAGAAATGGAAATGAATGAGAAAGCTGCATACGAACAAGAGGAGATTCATAGGTCTAGTCATGCAGAAAGGATTGAGCTGTGTCATGTGTTCTGCTTTAGTTCTGCTTTATCAACAGTGAGCCTTTCTTGAGTGCAGCTGCTCCGTACTTTTTCTTTGTTGTCCGACCTGTTACTGTAGGCATCTTCGAATCCCCAAGCCTGACATTGTAGCTTGCATCGATGTGGATTGCGTCGGGTCTCAGTTTCGCACCGTATGTGCTTGTGTATTCTCGCAAACTTTGGCCATGTGTTTGGTATGAATGACGATTCATTGCCTTGCTCGCTATAGTGTCTGTCCGCAACGCACAGGAGAAGCCTGCGAGCAAGACCTTGGGAGGAGTACTCAATGGCTTGCAAATATTACCAGTTCTGTATAAGCTTGTTGACATGCGTTCTAGTCTATCTCTTTCGCTCCTCAATAAGAGATTTGGCCTGACACTCCCCACAAGCGATCTAGCCACTTGTTCAAGCGCCCTGGAGGAAGTGGTGTCTTAAGTCCGCGAATTCTACTCTATGGTCAATCTACATTGAAGGGAGGTTCCGTTTCGTCTCGTGAATCTGGTCCGCCTTAAACGACTCGACTTCAGTATCGAGGCTCATGATCTGTGGTGTCTTCTGACTCATACGAATGCTATCCGACTGGAAGAAGAACAGATGTGAGGTTCTGCTTGCACGATATCAGCTTCTGTGGAGAGACTGGGTTCTCGTGTTGACCTAGGTCGTGGTCGGCCCAGTCGAAAGCATGTGCGTTCTGAACCGTAGAGCTAGCTAGGGACCTGTTGAAAACAAGCCATAATCCGTCACACAGTGTCCGCCAATAGATCCACAAAACACTTCATCCTTCTGTTGGGTCACGACACTTAGCTGCAGAAGAGATCCTCGTCTGCTAGCATGGATCTGAACAACCTGTCCGCTCAGACCACCGTAGATCGCTGGTCCACAATGACCGTTTGCCACAAAGAAATATGGTTGTGCGTAATGGAAACTGGCACGGTAAGACAGATTGGCATAGTTGCATAGTTACATTACTCGTGAGCAGTCGTCCAATAATCCAGGGCCACATCACTTTCTAGATTGGTCACACGGATTTCTGAGCCACGTACTGTCAAGCAACAATCCTGAATTGCATTTATCATAGCGTCCCCAATACCAAATTCGTCTCCAGGCAGCCACACTACCCGATGGCGGGCATCGATACATGTCAAAGAGTTGGGGCCTAGCTTGGCAGGGGAACCTCTCCACTCGGAAGCTGATTCGACAGTGCCGACTGGTACTTCTGGATTCAAACATGCGCTCCATTTGACAGGCGTGTACATGTGGAGGAGATACAGATGAACTTGTGTGCAGCAGATGAGGGTCAGGAGAAGTACCAACAATTGCCCTGTGTTCTGCCACTTGCTACCACTGCCTGACTTGAGAACGAACAGACCGATAAAGGTGGCTTGATATGTGTAGAGCCCGATGAACATCTTGAACATCGCATTCCGGTATAGCTGACCTTCAGTATCGACCACGATGTTAGCAGTGTACAGGAGGCTGTATCGAGAGCAGATGTCAGCAATGCCAAATGTGAGGGCCGCGATCGGCAGAATCATCGGCGTCAAGATCGAATACACCAGCACTAGAGACTATCGTTAGTCACGTTTGACTGTGGAGGAAGTGTCGTCGAGCCAGCGGACTGACCTAGTACAGCAAGGATGCTGTAAAACGCGTACAGGTCACCCCAATGTAGCTGACTTGCCACTGAACCGGCAGCATCCTGTCGCTGACGCGGTGTCTTCGCGGTGGCACGAGACCATAGTCGACCTACGATATGCTTCCAGGGCAGCAGTGTCGACGCGGCCAGGGAGAAACCCTGAATCAGAATATAGGACATATAATAATTGCCCGCTAGTGGGAGATTGCGAGCTAGTATGCGAGGCAACTCGACCACTCCAGCGTTCAACAGCTCAAATAAGGTGGGTAGCAGAGCCGAACCGATTGATGCGACTAGAAACAGCTGGATGAACAAAAACATGAAGTGATACTTCAGAATCGTCAATTCCCGCGCTGTTGTCGTTGCATGATGAGCTTTGTCCACAATATATCGTAGCAGAGTCGGAAATATAGAAAGCAGCATGGAGGTGGCGATCGATGGAAGGACTCCTTGCAGAACACCGAGCAGAGACTTAGGCATACGAAAATTTCCAATAATTTGCAAGAAGCTTGCAAGCTGTGACAGACCACCCGTAGCTGCCATCGGCAATGTCCAAAGCGCGATCAAGGCCACCAGCACGAGTCGCACACCGACCTTGGACCATTCGGCACGTGACCATGACTGCGCGAGATTGTGCAGAAGGAGGTGATCAGCTTGCGAGCCCAAAAATGTGGTCTGGTATGTAGGTGCAGCCATGTAACGCGTATGGTCTGCGACAATGCGGGCTGCACACGCGTCCGTGAATGTCAGAACTGCAGCTCGTGGAGTGTCGTCTGTCGCTTGCTGCGATGCACCCTCTGCAACCTGCACCATTTTCTGAAGCGATGCGTACAGGGCCGGCATGCTCGTTGACCAAGAAAGCCTTTGGGTATGTCCAGAGCTCGAATACCGCTCAGCAATGCGCTTCACTAGGTAGCCCTGAAATTCTGTACCGCCCATACGCCGAGCGATACGTGTCATTTTGTGAAGGAATGACGCCTCCTCACTTTCGATTTGTGTTAACAGAGCCTCAAGACGTTGAGCGCTCGGATGACACGGTGCCAAAAAGACAACATCAGAGATATAGTGTTTCCAGCGGGAGAAATAGTCCGAGACGGGTTGAAGGTTTCGATGCACGGGCCATCCTTGCACCGCGACGAAGAACCGTGCGCTGTACTTGGCACCTCTACCTCCTCTTTGTTGGTCCGTGAACAGCGTATATAGCGCCATGCCAGTGGACAGTTGTCGCGAAATGGCATACAATGTGGCGCTCACCATTGATGGGACAAGCGCACTGTAGAGCCAGTACGTTTTGGCGTCTGACGGAGAGAGGTTTGACCAGCTAAGAGAATTCAGGAAGTCAGTCTGGCTGTGTGGATGACCGACCAGACGTGTAAAGGATGCTATGCTCGGAAGCAAGATCAGCGTCGACATAACACTCAGGATAAACAGGAAGCGAAGGAAGCGAAGGAAGAAGATGGCCTCGAGACCGCAGTGGTGCAATACAAGAACTTCTGTTTGTGTCCACCACTGGTACATTTGCCGCAAACGTCGGAGCTTTGGCACGAGGGACGGCAAGTCGTGCCCGGTATGGTCTCGTGATCTGGACAATAGAGTGAGCAAAGAATACATAACACAGGTAAGAGTTTCCAGTATGATCACACCTACACCAGTGATCTGGAGGCAGGCCACAGACGGAGAAGGACGTGACCTAGTGTTGCAATGCCTAAGAAGACAATGGCTGATATTGCGGAGCTCACGAGGGCTCTCCAGGACTCTGGCTTCAACTCCTGGGCCCGTCCGCCCCGCAATGAACCAAGCTCAAAGACCATTCTGACAATGGCAATGACGATGGCGATGATTGTGGTGACGGCAATGACGGTCCAGCGCATCTGCAGAGGTCGGGACGTTGAGGGTGCGAGACTTTCGTGATCTGGGTTCTTCTTTAGGCCACGACAGACACACCGCATTCGGTGGGTATGTTTGTCGTGACTCGAGACTTCTGAAACAGGAACCTCAGCAGCTGAGCCCTTGCAATCGCGTGGCTGAAGACGAGGCTGAGCCAGAGTATAAAGACGCAAATGCCCTTCTGAACGAAGGCACCATGGAATGAAGGCTGATGCAGCAAACAAAGGCACTTTCGGCCATCAATACACCACTATCATGTCTAAGCGCTCGGTCCAGTTCTCGTCATCCATTTTGCGAAGTCCTCGTCGTCTGTCCAGCGACGAAGTGTTCGTGATCAACACCTTCAACCGACATGTCCATAATTGTAGAGCTTGTGCGATATCTGAGTCCAGTCACGAGTACCGGTGTCGTCTGTGCCCCAGGGGTCATGACTACGGACGCGACGTAATGGACTACGTTCGCTACGACAGTGGACGTTTTGTCTCCGAACATGATGCGAAATCTGGTCTAGGTCGGACAGAGTTGGTAGTGCCGGAAGATTGTGGTGCTGCGCGGGTGTTTCTTCAGATCAGGGATGCTCAACTGCGTCACAAGCAAGCTGAGCCCAGGACTCCGAAGCACACAAGGCCGAGGCTCAGCACGGGGCTCCCTTCTTACTCGTCAAAGCCGGTCCTCGTTGAGCCCATCCTCTCAGGTCAACACCAAGGGCATCGGGCTGGTGCGTCCTTCATCTATGTCACCATACCGAGTTTTACCATTCCGGTACGTCTCTCCGAGTTGGCACAGCACCATAGCTAGAAGACAATCCAGCATGCATCGACGGTAGTCTCGCAGACGCTGCCTGTGCCGGTGGCTGTCAACCCTTTGTTGTTAAGTGTTTAGCTCAGCAAAAAGTCAGGACGATAGCCTTCTCATGAATCGTTCACATATCACCGATCCCGAAAAGGGGGAACAAACTTTCCACAACCATGCCAACGACCTGACGTGGTCGTGTGCTTCGTTTATAGCTCTTCGTATATGCAAGTGTTCGTTGGTCGATAAAATCATGACGGGCGGGCAAGCACTCGGTAGTATGTAATCGCCGTAATGACAATATGCCAAGCCGTATTAGTCACCAGCTTCTTTCTTCTTCCCTGCAGCCACCTAAAGGGTGTATTTGAAATGCGACGACCTAATGACGGCGTTATACTTTGTTTGGCAACTTTGCTGTCGATTTCATCTCTAGCATCATCACCGAACAACCAAGTTAACTATCGACCACAACAACACCACCGAAAAGACATGCGGTCGAACCAACCTCATCGGCCTTGTTGTTGTAATAGCTGAGATCCGTGTTCACCGCAAAAACGAGCAAAATCAGAGAAGAACTGACTACTCTACGGCAAGAGCAGGTTTGAAAGGTCATGCGTCGCAAAAGCACTGAATAAAACCGCCAAAATCATTAAGTTCACTACCTCCCTCAAATGTCTTCTCTCCTAAAGGCCATAGCGATGGCAAACGACGCTCAAGAGGAGGAAGCATCTTCAGACCCAGTACCAATCCAACCGGCACAGTAACGGTCACAGTATGAGTTCGGGTGTACTGGTTGCTACCAAATACACTGCTGGCGTACTGTGTCCCACTCCAAATGGTGCGTACGATGATCTTTCATCGCACCTGCTGTGGCTGCTGCACGTAGGAGCGCCTCTGTTGACTGCTGGGACATACCTGGTCGGCACGAGGATGACCAGGCCCGGAAGGGCAGCATTGTGAACTGGAGTGTATACACTCGCAACAGCTGGCAAAAGACCAAGTCAAAACGACTTCGCACCATCACCTGGACTCTCCCCCCTTCAGTACGTCAACAGCAGCCATATCATCGTCACCGTTCTTTCAATTTCACTCAGATGAGGGTCCGGAGGTTGGACCCGCCTCCACATCAATATCTCCTGGCCTCAACGGTGGTGGAGGTATCACTGTTCAGGGTGACACTCAAAACGTCGACACGATATCTGTGTTTGGGCCGGCCTTCGACAAGCACGCTATCAACGAGCCAGACGAGAATATGGTTAATGATAGATCACGAATGAGTCGTGACACGTATCCTGTTGTTCGCTCGATGCTCCAAACTAGCGACGCCGACTTCCAAGCATGGCCAGAAGATCAGAAGAGCACCCATATCTACAACATACGCACAAAGTCACGAGATTTTAGAGGGCGAAGTGCTCGGGTCTACTGCAGAGCTAAGTACGACAGTGAACGCAATCTCACCCAAGAAGCCCGACAAGTGAAGAATGAAGTACTGCATCTCGCTCCAAAATGGAGCAGCACCAGAACCGACACCCACCATGGCGTCTATGGGTTCTCCCTCGCCCACCAGCGCGGCTGAGTCGCCAACAGGACTGGGCATGTTTGCTGCCAATCGGCCACTGTCCTAATCCTACTCCACTGAACTCCAGCCGTGATCAACACCACGGATAAGCATTGAAGTCTTTCTACACCATTTCCGGTGGTTCTGCAGGATCCACTCATGCTCCGAGTACTTTATACGATTGTTGTCGCTAGATTGTTCATGGACCGATGTTCCCAGTGGTGACATGGCGAGCCAAGGAGATACTGTGAACACACAGTGTCTGTTACACGGTTTCTATGTTTTGACCTACTTCCTTTTGGCGACGCCAGAACCCGAGCTCCACGTGACAGGTCTTCCGACTGAACCTGCTCCTGATGATATCCGCCTTCACGATTTTGGACTGAGGTATCAATTTAACCTCACATGCCTGAGCCAGATCTTCCGGACCGTGTTCGCAGCACAGCACGTCGCTCACCACTACAATGCCTGGACGCGTGAACATAGGACGGACAGCATGGAATTGTTTGCCCGGCACGCCTTCCATTGTCGAGCTGACGTGCGGGAGGTGGCTCGTATGGTCCGTGACGGGGCACGTTTACTACAAATCGAAGAGGCCACGGGCAGCCCGTTCGTCTCTGCGATTGTGGCGTTGAACTGGCGGCAGTTCGAAGCCAGTACAGACGCTCAAGTGCGAAGTGCTTTCGATGCCATGCTGTCGAGGCCATCGGTGAGCGCGATCATGACGATCTTATCGCCTCAGTGGATGTACCGTCTCTTTGATGAATATCATAGCAAGACTTGCCCTACCAACGTTGATTGCTGTTTCACTGACTCAGACAGATTTTGTCCTGCATTATCGCAAGTGCACGGACCCGGAACGGACCGATTTTATGCAGAGTGTTCGACTACAATGCAGCAGTTGTCAACTGTTTATGCAGCCATCGACCTTCGATGCTGCATCGTGTTTTGCCTGTCGACGTGGAGGATATCGCTGCCCGAAGCAGGCCCCAGAAAGGGAGCCATTCCTACAGTCAAGCACGGGTCAAAGGCTGTACAATATCTTGAGCTTGTGTCGATTGAAGGGAAACGACTGCTTGCAGCGCATCAACGCCTTACCACACCATGATGACGATACACTGCTTCCAAAAGACGGTGTGGATGTCGCAGCTATCCCCGAGACGAAATTGCTCGACATGGCTCGAGAAATCGAGACCCAGCTAGAGATGCTGGCACATCTCTACGTGACAGCGTGTGCATCATGTCGTCAACGCAAAATCAAGTGTTCGTTACGTACCATCAACCGTCGACCAGCGGCTGGAAGAGGTGGCAGCAGATCATGTCGACCACTATTACCGATCATGGAAGTGCCTGAAATCGTTGCCGCCGGGAATGAAACGTGAAAATGTACAGTCGCAAACACTACCGTTCAGGTGCGCTCCTGGAAGCTCAGCTATTAGTCCATTGGCAGTGCAGGGTCAAAGGAACAGACTTTGCACAATTCCGAAGGCATCCACGCGTTGCCATGGTCGTGTGTGGGGTGGTCTTGGTACGTTGTCCTACATTGCTCTAGATATCCATGCAACCTCGGGCGAATTTAAAGTTGTTGCATGCCCGGAGCATTGCGCCGCGAGGCTATTACCAGGTTGCGTCATGGCCTGCGCGCCAGATGAAACATGGAGAACACCTAGTGCTCACACTGTGCCTCACGACCTGCATGCACTTGTGCAGTGCCGCGATTTGGCCTAAAGTAGTGACGCGAGCTTAAAATCGTCGAATCACGATAGAGCATCTGGCGCTTCCAGACTTAGTCCATTTAGTAGATAAGAACATCTTTACCATTCGTTTCTGTAGCACCACGAGTTCGCAGGACAGGACCAAGGCCTATTCCAGACATTGACAACCACAGCTCTCTGAATTTCCGACTTCGTTGTACGTTAACTCGACAGACTGTTTGTGATGGTGGATGAACGAACCCAGGCACTGGTGACAGCAGCATTGATCGTCTTCGCAGTCCTCACCGGCCTTTACATCCTGGTCTCGCAAGCATATAGATTTTATGCATTATGGCTCCGGCGAAACCATCAAATTGATAGCGAACTAGCACTTTCAAATTCTCACTACCCAACGTCGGTCAAAGAGGTGTCTATATCGTCACCTGTGACTACAGATGTACGGGGGAAAAGGTCACTGGCTTCGATTTCTAGACCACAAGTACCAACACCACCACCTCCTCCACCACCAAAACCACAACCAACTTTCTCGTCGGACTTGCTTAGAACGCGGCAGGAACCTTATGGAACCACTCCACCTCTACCTGCCGTGCGTGCATCACCTGCTCGTACATACCCAGGGCGACCGAGAGCAATGGTCAACTTTGCCTCGAACCACATGGCGCCTACAGGACACTCGAGGTACGATGAACTCAGGACATTCGACCCGACTAGAGGATCAGAGGCATCACCTGAAGGAACAGAAAGTGTTCCACTGACCATGCACGGTGACATTGCCGGACCTTCGACTCAGACTAGACACATGATTTCACCCACCTTTACCGTGGGTCAGCTCCACACGCCGACAACCGCAAAGCGAGCGGCAGCTGTCCAACACTCTAGACAGACAACACCGAACCTGTATCAGAGCGCGACCGCTTCCCTTGTATCTGAAGCCGACAGTCCTTCACCGGACCCTTTCTGAATGGCACCGCGCTACTGGCGATACACTGGTCAATTGACGCTCGAGTATCTGATACGACCATTGCACTCCACGTACATGATCGACGACTGAATAATGTTTATCTATTTGTATATACTATTGACCTTCTACCTAATGCACAATCGTTTTGATTTGCATCGCAATCTTCCTTCAACAACGTGCATGTGACCAATTACTCTCGATGCCGCAGGCATCTGACCAAGCATAATATGCACACAAGAGCGGACAGGATGTGACCCCAATCAGCACCGCGAGACCTGGCGGCTCCGGATACATAGCTGGCGATCGGAGTGAGTGTTGGCGATGCCCATGGCAGGGTATTGTTGCGGGTCGTGTTTGCGCCAGTGTCTATGGTCGATACCAGTGAAGACAAGTTAATAGTTCGAGTTGAGGTCCATGTCGTAACGCTGGCACCGTGGCAGTTGCATCTTCCTGTCCCCACCCAAGATTCGTTGTCGAGACGTGGAGGCTCGACGATGATGGTTGAACTTACCACAGAAGATAATGCTGAGGTGGTATTGAACGCTGTACTGGGGCTGAAGGATGCTGGGCTGTAAGTGAATGACGTGAGGCTCTGGTGAGTGTGGTTGTGATAACCGCAAGCCATGTTCGCAGCCGTCAAATGCAGGTCATCTCCTCAACCGCTTCTGCTGAGATATACTTCCTGCAACGAGCAGATCTAGGAAAAACAGGCAGCATAGAACCCAAATAGTATGAGCGTAGACGCCGTGTTGTTGTCTTAACCACCAATTGAGGTCCAGCGTTCGACTCCCAACACTAGCAGACTTGACCCACACAATTTGATGGCCACCATCTCTGGTGGCCATAACTTTCTGCTGCCGCAAGTCTAGTTCAAGGCGAGAGAAGCTAGAAATACCTTGAATGGCTGCGTATCGAGATGATCTTGACCGTATCGTCCATTCTGCCATTCCAAGTCCACGATGTCTGATAGTGGCTCCACCATGGAATATTCCCAGGCGAGCAGGACAGGAGCGAAGAGAAGTCGAGACGGTAAGTTAATGAAGGCTCAAACGTTGGATCGTTACAAGCACTGACGGTATCGTGGCAGAATCGGACGATGAGGAGAGAAAACCGAGTGCGTCAGATGACCAGCCTGGATCTGTGCCAGAGACGCACCAGGCGACAACCTCGGACGCAAGCAAAGACCAGAAAGGTAATCCTGCGAAGACAAAGTCCGGGCCACCAGACGATGGAAGTGAACCGGAGTTGCTGGACGACAGCAGTGGCGCAAATGACCCGTTTCCAGGTGCTGGATGTCAGACCATTGCCAAAATCAGCACGGCCCGTCGCACTCTGTATGTCAATCGCTACGGACCACGACGGTACCCCTGGTTCGTCATGAGTAGCAACTTACGACTGAAAGATGGTACCAAGGAAGAAGAGCTACCCAACATCGCGAACGCATATGCGCGAACATTGGACCAACCCATCGACATGGCAGACAAGGTCAAGGCCGGCAAGAAGTTTGGGAAGAAAGACATCCAAGGTGTTCTGGGTGTGCTCTGGGACTTCGACGAGAGACAGAATCCCTTGCGCGCCGTGGAATCCCTGAACCCCAAAATGGTCAAGAAGGGACTTGATAGTGCTCGTGAGCGACGTGAGTACCTGAACAAGGGCAGACGACTTCCAGCATACCCAACTACCTACGTCTGGGTGAAGTTCACGAGACCCATCAACGAGGTGGTAGGAAGGGAACAGTCATCGGGTGTGGTCAGCAGCTGGGAGTTGGGCAGTAAGTATCGCAGTGCCTTCGGCAAGAATCACATTGCCCGTGAGCAGGACCTCTACCGAGATGCCAGGCGCCAGGCAGATCGTTTCATCTCATGGTACGAAGAGAATGTCGTGCAAGATCAGCGAGAAGGCTCCGTCTTGTATGAAGAGTTCGACCGCGAACCCACGGTGGTACCACGGCGAGCGACGAGCGAGTCTCCGTCGGTGCTCAGTGAGCAGGCCAACGACCCGGACCGACCGCTGCCGACGATCGAGGGTAAGCAAGCTGCTGATCGCGTGGGATCGACGAGCTTGAAGCAGACGAGCGGGCCAAGAAAACGTGTCCAAACCGTTCTGCCTACACCCGAAAACGACAGCGGGACTGAGAGTGTTGGTGGGGACGAGGGTGAGCTGACCGAGTTGGAGAAGCGAGAGATGTTTCTCATGGGCTTCAAGCAGCAGCGCAAAATTCAGGGGGATTTGAGTCCAAAGGAAAAGAAGATGTTCGATGTTGCCTTCGCAGCGTTCAACATGGGCTGAAGACCACCAAGAAGACTACAAGATCGTAGAGTAGGATCATGTAACACTCGTGTGTGATGGAGTGTCAAAAGGTCTAGACACGTGTCAATGGCATACCCGCTGGTCGGGAAGTGATTGCCAACCCAACCAGATAGATGCATGTAGATTGAAGTCCTTCTGAGCACCACCATTTGTTCCATCCTGACGTGATGTTGGCCAACGGAAGGATGGAATCGCAGGGCGCCGGCAATACGAGAATGGCCAGTGGTAAAGAGGAGGGTCGTCTTATTGCTCGCGAAAGGGCCTGTAGTAGTCTTCGAGCACTATGAGCAGTGGAGATAGGTCCATTTGCAACGTGGTAGGTCGACAAATTTCTAGGAAGTTGCTACGTGTAATGGTTGCTCCCGTGCTTGCCACTTCTGGAGGTCTGCCGGTTTCGACAACAGCTTGCCCGAGCTACAAACGTCATAGATGACGTGGGACCGAAGGGCAATCTTGTCAGGACGAAGAACAGCATCGACGGTGTCCCACAACAAGATTTGCAAATGATTGCTCTCGTAATAGTAGTCGTTCTTGAAGTACAACCATGCGAGCAGAAGCAGCCAGCGTTTCGGTGCAAGGACACGGATGTCTTTGACTTTGGCATATGCTGCTTCTTCACCGGATGCTTGCATTCGAATGTCCACATAGGCACCGGTACGGATCTGCTGCTTCTTCAACGTACACATCGAGACAGATGCCAGATCTTGCCACCGAGGATACTCTTCAGTCTTCGACACCATCACGTATTTTCTTGTGTGCGGGGCGTATGTCAGGTCGAAATAATCTCTGACTGCCTCTGTCTCTTCTTCTTCTTCTGTCTCTACCTCTGGCTCTTCTTCTGTCTCTTCTTCTGTCTCTTCTTCTGTCTCTCCTTCTGTCTCTCCTTCTGTCTCTTCTTCTGTCTCTTCCTCTGCCTCTGCCTCTGCCGCTGTCTCTTCCTCTACCTGCTGCTGCTTCTCACCATGAGCAGTCCCTTCTTCTTCACCGCTCTCAAGCTTATCGAGCGTAACGCGGGTCGTGGTCGAAGAGGGCTGGTCCAAAGAATTCGGTGAATGCACTTCGGAAGGCACACTATCAGCACTCATGTGAGTACGCGGCTGAACATTTGTCGACGCCTTGGCTTGGTTTGTCCGGTTGGCATCTGGACGCCGCTTCCCTTTAGAACCATTGGAGCGGTCACCTCTTACAGGAGATGCAGTGCCATGGTGCGAAGCCGACCTTGGTTTTGATTTTCTTGCATTGATGTGCCTGAAATGACCCATTCTACCACCAATGTGCAATGAGGCTCTTGTTTATGGCCCTGTGTGGTGAAAATAATGTTGGTCGGAAATGGGCACCTGCAACTCCGTAACATGAATTTACAGTAAGTGAAATTGGCCAAGAACAATGTAATGAAGCTAACAAAGAATATGAGAGAGCACGACATGCCTAGTAGAGGGCGCCTAAGCTAGCCTGTAGCGCCCGTAGTATCACAGTCACTGCAGCTTCTCCAATGACGTTAAATGTCACCGTGACTGTATGTCAGACGTCTGTGGCCCACCTAAGTTTGGCGCCTAAGCCACTGTGCCTGACGGTGGACGGCTTACACGTGATCGCGTTTGTCTTGCAGTTTACCTCCGTGGTCGTTCACCCTTCTCGCATGCCACACTCATTTTTCAAGTCGATGACTCAACCACGCTGTTTGTCTCAAGTGCTGCTACACTTCCTGAATCAGACTCGTATTCGAGATGGTCAACGAAAGAACCTGGATCACGCCCTGACCGAGCTCAGTCACATCTCGTCATGTAGCAAAACACCCCCACGAATACAAAAAGCCTGGAAACAATGCCTCCTGATATCTCGCGAGGCTTTCTTGCTTTTCAGCGCCGCATTTGCACGGGACCTCTTGTGCCACACGCTCAAGAAAGAGATGTGTCAGATCATTGAGACCATCAAGTCACAGAATCAGGAGCTGCAAAAGCATGGTCTCTTGATCGCGTTGAGCCAGGAGTATGGGTCACGGATCGATGCATGTCAGTACTCTTCCGTATATTGAGCTTATGTTAACACGAACCAGGCCTGGCAAGCAATCATGCGGTTCCGATCCTGCAGCCTGTTTTACATGTGAGAGACTCGAGTCCAAACACTTCAAGATCTTCTGCTCGCAGCACAGTCGGAAAAATCCTTCACACATTGCAGTCGGAGCCAACCTTTGTTCACGCGCTGCCGGCAAACCTCGATCGAATGCAGTTGGAACATCTTCACCACCTCAAAGCGACCACACAGTCTCTCTGGAAAGCGAGTACTTGCACAGTTCCGGTGCTGGTTCCGGCAGAAGATTGTTGGGGAGGTCCCCCTCCTGGCTTTCACGAAGTCTTCGAAGCGGTCTGGAAAAGCAAGAGTAAGTCCTGTCCTCAGTGGCGTCTCCTGTCACACTAAGATGTTCAAGATCCACGTGTTTTTCAACGCGGGGCGCAAGTGGACAGATCACAAGCAGCCGCTGCGTTCAGTCAACTCGCCGAACCGAATCCTCACAACGCCACAACGATCATCGGCTCCGATGCGAGTCATCTCCGACAGACTTTCACGTCTTGCTCTGCGCTCGAGAAACACATTCCTGTTCACAACGAAGCCCGAATGGTAATCAACGTTACACCCACCTACTCCGTGGTGGATCTTCACATTGGTAAGACCACCTCCACCTGGAAGTTGATCCCTAACGGCGGTCTGTAGACTACGGTATGGACGCACTGTCAGCCACCATGCACCGGTGCCGCAAGATCTGGCTCATGTTTCCACCGACATGTCACAACCTCCAGTTGCTCGAAGCCGAGTTGAGCCAATCCACGCGGTTAGCACGCATTGGTTGTGATCTTGAAGGTGGCATTATTGTAGAGACTGACTCAACACAAGCCGTGTTCATCCCCTCGGGCTGCCTCCATGCCTGTCTTACAACCGCAGGTGGATTTCTCGTGTCTATCGATTGTTCAACGCGCACCTCGGCTCGGCCATTCTCCCACTATCTGCAACGGCACTTGTACCGCGAGCTCGACGCCGAGGGCCAGCGCGATATTTTCTACAAGTTCGTTGACACGCTCGAGGTTGCAATTGCAAACGGAGTGTCGGCTGTGGCTGTGGAAGCATGGATCCACTGCGAATCCACGTTACGCAGTTTCTCCAAGTGGGATGGCGCGTGGATGATGAAGGCTAGACAGACCTTGCGACGCGTCGACTCGTTCGCTGAGCTGTGTCCATGTGGTTCGTCCTATAGTAGCTCATGGTATGATCATTGGCTTGGTCACCACCTGGCATTCTTGTGTGACGCTCAAAGTTCAGCTACATCACAGCAAAGTAGTCGCACGTGCCGAAATACCTTGAAACGTAAAAGAACGCATACATACGTGAATTCTGTGCTGAAGCCCTGCGACGGGGGTTTAGTGGAAAGAAGTGCTTGCAGGCTCAACTAGGAACGTACTACAGGACGTAGGAAAGTACATACCGGAAACCACACCCAAAACCACATCCAAAACCACATCCAAAACCACACCCTAAACCACACCCAAAATCACACTCAAAATCACACTCAAAAAGACATCAAGCATCGCACGGCAAAAAACACTTACAACAACACTTCAGGTACATGGAAACACAACTCGTATCCTTGATGCTGCATCGAATTCTTTTTGACCCCATTACAAATTCTTTGATGTGTCTATATCGTTTGCGTCGCTATCGCTGGTGATCGCCAGAGACTTTAGGGCTTTTGTGAGTCTGGGGCGAGATTGTCTACGAGCAAACTGTATATCTTGCTCATCGGACGCGGCAGCAACAATCGGTAGGCCAAGATCAATCTCACTGTCGGTCGACCAGCCACTAGATTCACTTTGAGATGACGAAGCCAGCTCATACGTTGAAGAGGCTTCATCCGAGCGTCCATCTTCTTCATCATCATCACCATCGTCATCGTCATCGTCATCGTCATCGTCAATGAAGTCGATATCGCTCTCATGTACAGATGTCTCGTTAGAAGACCCGTCGTAGATTTCGTCCTCCCCTTCTTCTTCTTCGCACCCAGCATTGTAGATGTGGTTGGTAGCGCGCTCGACCTTCTCAGTACAGTCCTCGACGAAGTCCACACTGAGGCTGTGACACTGTATCTGACGCCATCGCACAGGTCTGGGAAATTCTCCCCCCATGCTGACGAGAATGAGAGAGAGATGGTACTTGTGCTTGACGTCGTACAGGAAGACAATAAGACAGTATATGTGGTGGTGAATACTGCCAGCTGGAAGTGGGAAGCAAAGTGCTGGCCTTCATTTGTCACAACGTCCTCTATTTTCAGTGGTCACGCTTTTGACAGATGCAGTTTCTACGGACATGAATGACCGTTCTACTTCGTTGCATACGTGAAAGGTGTCCAGATGGACGAAGCAAAGCTCCTCCATAGAAGTGACGAGGTGGTAGCCGGTGATTCGAAGATGAACCAACCGAGTCAGAACGTTGAAACTCTTGGGTATGCAGTGAGCGAGGTGCGAGATTGGGTGAATCGCCCCATTGCAGTGCGCCGTCAGAGAATGTCAGAGACGAACACGCCGCCTCGACCCCTGAACGCGTTTATGCTATATCGCAAAGCATACGCCATCCATCTCAAAAATCGGACGACCAAGCCTGATCAAAAATTGGTGTCCAAAAGTGCTGGACGGCGATGGCAGCAAGAATCATTAGAGGTCAAAAACTTCTATCGTGATCTCGCGAGACTGGAACGGGAACGGCATGCTGTCGCATTTCCCAACTATCGCTTTGCGCCCCGGAAAGAGGATTCGTATGGACGTGGCTGGAAGGTTGCAACCACAGTAGCAAGCTATTCTGATGCAGTTCCCTCAGCGGGACAGACCTGTGCTGTTGGGGATGCTCGCTGTCAATATTCTCCCACTAATGACGGCGATGATGAAGATCAGGCGCTGTACCTAGAAGTGTTACAGTGGTTGGCTGACGAAGTAACACATGAGACACCCGAAGAACTTACAGACCTCTAAACAAAATACAGGCTTGGCAATTGTCTCAGGTCAACGATGTGTGAAGCGAAAGAGGGATCTCTATAACGACTGATTACTCGGTATGAACAGTACATCGATACGACAAGAACTTTCGACCTCGAATTTGGTCTGCATACTATGGGGGTGCGGCTATGTGAAGCGCTGTCGCCGTTCGAACGTGGCGGTGGAAGTGGAGGTGAAAACGGAGTTGTGTTACCAAAAATGCCTGGAACGGGATGAGTCAAGCGCCCAACTATGAAAAGCACTGTCATGCTCCTTGCTTTGCAGGACTCGCTGACAGCATGGTTAATGCTGCATCTCCCAGACCCGCGACTGGTTGTCGGGCATGTAATGCTGATTCTGGCAAAACAGCTGACACCGAAAAGATGATGAGTATCTGAGTATGCTGATAGTGTGAGACATTGATCAGGTAGTTGCTCGGCTATGAAGTGCCAGTCGACCCGCAAAAACCGATAGTGCTTTCGTCAGTCCCTCTTTGTCTTTTTCTATGTGAGTTGAGATACTGTAAGCCTAGGTTTGCGTTTCATGACATCCGAAGACCTGTCGAACGGATGAATTGCTCGTCAAGGTCGCAGCGCGTGATGTCAGGACCATGTCCAGGAGGTCGCCATGTTTACTGCTTTAGGCAATGTAGCCATCACATGACAACATGCGGACGAGACAACGATATTTCGTGGCCACGTTTCTATGCCTCTGGCAAGCTTGACACCACCACCACCAATTCTTGTGAAAAGGAGTCAATGTCAATTTCAAAATCATCACGACCAATTGAGCAGGGGTGGAGCAAAAGCATGCCGCCAACAGCACCAAAAGACGTGGTTATGCGTTACCAGCTACATGGTTAGGATACATGACTATATGTATTACCAGCACTTGGTTCGGATTCAGAACAAGCACGAAGACCGACCAGCGATGAGTCACCCACTTGATGAGACCGCGTCACACGTCCTGGCTCGGCTTCTAGAGAATGAAGATCGTTACGCCCAGCGCGTGGCACAAGCGGATGTCTTGAACTCTGAGATAAACCATTTGCACACTGAAGGCGATGCTTTGATGCAAACACTCCGCCAGCTCTGGACTCAGCGCAATTACAACTCGGTAGACACGCGCCAGCACGCAAAAGTGGTCCATGTACGAGATCGACTTCAGACTCTATGCACCCAAGCTCGAGCTTCATGCGAAAAGGCGCAATTGGATCCATCTGCGCGCGGCGTGCTGGACGGGATCGTTCAGCAGCTTCTAGATCTTCATCGTGTCACATCTTCAATGTCGGCTGATCTTCCACCTCGAGACGCTGCCGTGGATGCGACTGGCCGGCCCACGTGCCTTCAGAGCTCTTCCCAATCCATAGCAACTGCTCAAAGTTCCAGTGGTCGATTTCCACACCAGCACTCAGGAGTCATGAAGCCGACCCACTATCGACAAGCATCTCAAGTCTTGGCGCGTGGTTTCTCTACGAAGACAATTGATCTAGCTCAGCCTGGTTGGAACGAAGCATGTTCGGAGCCCAGTACCACCGTTGACGGACCAAGACCGTACGCAACGTCCGGCCCATCACGTTGCGGGAGAGTGAAGATCGAGGCAGTGGAGCCAGAACAGGCTGCTCCTACACCACTCGAGGCACGCATGATCGAACGCAGAAGTCACGACGATCTATATTCGGACAACGGTAGTCTGTGGTGGTCTGGATCCTCGAGCTCATCCATTGAGTCTGTATAACTGATGCTCGTTATCGACGACCTAAGTTCTAGCGGACCCATAGAAGCGTGGATGAGATCTGCAAGGTGGACGGACCCCGAGGAGAATGTTAAGGAGGGTGATAGATTATGCAATTTCATGCGCATGGCCATTCGTAGTGCATACAAGTGAGTGTTTCTGTGTTTATCACCCTAGATTTGCATCGCCTAAGGGGACAGGCTTGATGTCGTTTTTCCTGTCTGGTTTGTTTTCAATTCGATTTTGATCATTTGCTACCCTATATTTGTCCTTGTTGCCTCAGACGTACCGAACCACGTTCATTCTCAGGTAAGTTCCCTCATGAATGTGGTATCATATCAAAACATGATCGCTGTAAAGATGGTAGGTGGTACAATATGGAAAGCATGGCTGATGCATTTGAAACATCTTCCGAAGTTGAGTCTTATAGGATAAGTCATTCCTTTGGCGGAAAAATCTAGTAGATCTGTCGACAAATTTCTGACGTTAGTGCCTGAGATTTGGTATGGTAGTCGACACCTGTTCCTAATTGGCTCCATGTTCCAGTGTATCTGCAGTCTTGTCTGCCGACGAACTTTGTGCAAGTGCCTCCAGAAATAGATGTTAGCAAATATTCAGGCGCAGGAGAAACCCTTCAGCACACTTTCTTATCATACCACGAATTGACTTCTTCGTCCGCAACGAAGACTCACTGTTCAACGATTTTCTGTACTTATTATCTCTATGTCTATCTCTTCTATACTTGAATGTAAAACAACATCCTTCGACAAATCTTTCATAATCGTCAGCTCAAGAGCGCGTGGAGAGGACAAAAGTTTTAACAGCTTCTCGGTGGGATCTCTGATTCAGCCACTCTCGCTTCGTGGCAACATGCAACATCGAGCCAGGCTATGGACGGCGGCACCTCCTCGGTGATCACTTTCAAAAAGTACGTCTTCATGGTCGCTCGCATTGGTAGAGATGATCGCTTGAGAGCCATACAGTTGAAGATGCCCGACCAAGTGGCTATGCATGGCACATCATGACAGAAATAGTCTACACAAGCTCAATGAGCCTCGCAAAACCATCCAAGTCCACCAGTTCACGCCCTATCCTCCTTCGCCAGCCACCTTGAATGACGTTGCACAATTCTGTGGACGTAGTCGTGCCTTAGCAGGCCTCGTAAGCAATCTGTGAGGTTCATACTCCTCTGCATTCGCTTCCAAGTCGGTGTATCTTTCGGTGCTTCGGAAGCCGGAGACTTTGCGCACGACCCACCTGTAGCAAGAGTACACTACTCGAACACCCTTTTGAGCGTATCTGCTTGCTCGTCCCAGGACGGTTCGATTGGTCTGATTCCCCAAGCGATCATCGATTGTCGCTACCAGATCGGCCCGCATGCTGTCCAGGGCAATCATCTGATAATCCTTCAGTGTTGCAAACAGAAATCTCACTAGTGCTAACTCATGGGAAGAGAGCTCTACTATCTTCGACCCATTGTAAAGCATCAAGTCATGAATCGTGACCCGCCTTCGAGATGGATCCATGTCGCAAGACGACAAATGACAATGGATTCGCGAAGACGATATGGTCTCAGTAGTGAACTGAGTATCTGTTGAGGCTGTGAGAGCGAACTTAATCGATAACGATGGCTTTTGTATCGTCCAAGACGTATCATTAGTGCATGTGCCAAAGCCCAGTACTTGTATCTACCTTGAATGAACACTGATCATTGCTGGCTGCCTGTATTAGAAGCCTAAGATTTACTCGCTATGGTTCATTAGTCTGACCAGCAGACACTGCCTAGCTGAAGATATTCAGAACGTCGATCGAACTGTGCACGGGAACGTGTGGTGCTAGACCTTGGCGGATTAGGTTTCCGTTCTTGCTTTATCGATAGCCAAGATCGTACGATCCATTCGTCACCTCCCCTCAGGAATCTGTATTGTGCCATCAGCCTGCGCAATATCGCGTTGCTTTGCAGCAGTTGACGAAAGACAAAGTTTACTCCCTGAGCAACAACTCAAGTTGTGTAGGCATCAATCTTCCGCTTGGAGAAGACAGGAAATTTCATAGCTCTCCAATCAGCTTGACCATCACCTCAGCCACTATCTTTGACTTGTTTATCCACACGAGTACATGAAGACGTGAAAGGGAGTCCTTCCTGGATTTTCTAGCCCTCATGTGCATCTGGCAACAGCGCTTACCTAGCGACGACCAGTACGTGACGAACGAACGCGACTGATGACATGCAATACGGGCTCCGATCAGACTGCACTGGCAGCCCCACCATCAGTATAGGAAGGGCAAGCTCTATCTCTTGCATAGTCCGACATCCTGGCTTGCGGAGGAAATGCGACAAGGACGAAGGTCGCTGCCACGGACAGGTGTAGAAGTACCACGGTCGGGTGTGGCGACGCCCAACCATTCCAACAAAAGGCATCCACGCTATAATGCAAATCATAGTAGGGTCAGATTTCTGAAAACACTCGATCCTACACCATAGCTGAGAAGCATCGTTTTCTGGCGTCCTCCCCTGGTCGGCGTCGCGCTCAGCGCTTGGCTAGGCACCATTGCATTGACCCGCGAGGCTAATGTGATGGGTGACCGTCCATCAAAGGATATCACATGGGGTCCCGTGAGCTTCTCTCAACTTCGTATGTGCAATCTTAGAAATAGGCTCATAATGGCGCGGTTGTCAAGGTGTCAGATAAGGTGCCTGGCGCCATAGTCCGCTAGCTTGTGTTACTAAGATCCGCTTGCGCTTTGCAGATACACCTTTTGCTACGAACACTATATGCTACGTACGACTGCTTCGAGAATCTCTACTGTTGTGAGCAACTATTGTCGGTACGTATTGGTCTTCTGCAAGGTGCAGGAAACAGGGAGGTTCTCAATTGCGCCACACTTCTTTTGTGCCAACGTCTTCGTCATTTGATAGGAGTGCCTGATACCATCAGTCCACACTACATCTGCACACATACGTGCCTTTACATCGCCGGCAGTCGTACTTGTCTTTTGCCAACGTACAAGGCTGCCGAGCAACGAGCGACAGCCAAGAGCCATGCGATCACGGCGCTAATAGTAACGATGACCTGCTGTTCTATGAGTATTCTGCCTTCGGGATATATTTCAGTGACATACGACCACACGACAGTCGCGGAGTCTTCCTTCCTGGTGGCCACTGAAGCACATTCTATTGTCTGGCGTCGTATACAGCAAGGCCGCGAGGGTTGACAATGCTGCTATCTCGAGCACGCTGCAGAAGAGGTCCATATGCCGACTTCGTCTTGATGGAACGTCCACACCGGGTTCGAGGTGACCGACTAGAAGTCGGGTCATGGAAGATGCAGTAGCTACAGCGGCGCATGCAAGCAAATGCACATCATGTGTCAAGACAACACCGCTGATCTGCCAACCTACGCACAAAGTCGTCAGTGTTGCACTGTCGCAAAGAAAAGAGACAGTTCCTAGCCACACGCCCTTTGGCGGCATCTTGATTCTTGATGGTTGTGAGAGGATGCCCAATGTCAGGACCAAAGGATGGCAGGCGAAAAGATCTAGAAGCGTTATTTTCGTGATACTCATCGTACTCACACAGGCTATGTTGAACTCTTGGTATTCTCTGTCGTCCTCGCATCATTGTGGAAAGTAGGAGGTGCCACGACTCAGGTCAAGTGGATTGACCGCCAGTCTCTGCTGACCATAGTGAATGTGGCGAACCATGGTTACCCGAGGATAGCTTGTGGATTCATCGCGAGCACGGTTTGAGGTGGTCGTTGTAGCACTATCCGTACGACTGAAGAGGTGAGTTGACAGCACTACTCAACGAGAGCTTCAGCACGTCGACACCGCAGTACAAACGTCTGCTGAAAAAAACTACTACCAGAGATGTTGATCCACGATTTACTTACCATTGCTCTCTTAATCTGCGGTGTAGCATCAGTGACCAATACGACCGGGAGCTGCGTCGTCGATGGCGCGAATTGGTCTCTGAGCTCGGACTGCTGCTCTGGATGTTGCAACTTCAACGCCCCACCTGGACCACTTCGACGTTGTCTAAACACGGCAGTCGGAGGTATACAGTGCATATGATTCATGGAGGACGAGCCTGGCATTCTACGAATTGTGTCGACGTCGAGCATTTTGAAATCATTAGTCGCCACCATCACGGGAAGGACCTGGAATGTTCACACGATTAGAATCGAAACTCGGAATTTTGAGCAGGAGAACGGAAGAATCGCAAGAGGGTGGTGTTCGGGCTGGATTGGAAGCTGTGTGATTAGCAAGGGTGCGAGACATAGTAGCTGTGCGAATGAGTCATAGGGCTTCACACTAGCCACAACTACGAATCAAAGAAAGCGTCTTCACAAACTGCAACGTGCCATTTTGTAACACAGACCAAGTCTCCAGGCCTGGAAATTGCACTTAGCTGCAGTTCTGCTCATGCTCGTACAGCTCTCTTTTACGTGGACCACCCCAGAACACTGTCCGTAACTCACTTCCAGCTGTGGACATGGGTATATGCACATATCGGTGCCTTGATTTCCTGAAGCTGTGGCCCTCAGACACAGTGGGGAACATCCGATGCCGCCGCAATGTAGACGTGTACATTTACTGGGCAGCTGTAGTCCCGACAAATGTCATCAATGGCTTCAGTGATGAGGCTGCCGATCAATGATTTTGACAGCTTCGCTGGAGAGAAGGTCATTTAAGGTCTGTTGGATCTCCTCCGCTACGTCGGAAGCTTGCAGGCTCGAATCGAACAACATAACACATCGATATAACCGCATCAAGACGGCGCAATCGAACGTTCTAGAGTACAAACACAAGCAAGAGGAAGTGGATGAAACGAATGCGAGCATTATTAGTGAAGAAGACGATGAGCGGACAGTGCTCGAGCAGGTGCTTCAAGAGCTAGGCGAAGCCAAAATGTTGATCCGGGATTTGCAAGAACATAACAAGCTCCTTCACGATCAGACCGGAGGTCATTCCTAGCTATGGTTGTCGCTATCGGTAATCACGACCTCAACGCAAGATACAACAGGTGTCGCATATGATATTCCTCCGAGGAATAGAATGCTGGACGCCCTGCGATTGGCAAAACTTGGTGGGAGTGTTGGAAAGTTGATGCAGAAAAGAAGACCGCAGGTGTCAATTAATCAGAAATGCGTCCCAAACAATTATAGTTCTCATGCATGATCATAAACAGTGTAGGTCTTTGGAGCTGTGTTTTAGCAGGGATAAGTTGCTATATTAACCGAGATTGTAGGCCGCAGACAGCGGTGATTTGACAGTTCTGCAACAACTAGAGCAAGATTGCGCAGCCCTGTTGTAGGATCTCTGCTTCAGCTTGAAGCTGCTTCCGCTGGTCAGCAACGCCAACATCTTCGCTTGCAAGTTTCTGTAAGTCCCCCTCTCCCAACTTTCCCACAAATTCGGGTGAGAATACATGGAGCGGGCCTTCTTCAGAGCATATCAACATATAGTCAACGACCTGCTTGGCGACTGCATCAGCGAACCGTTTCCGAGCCACCTTGTGATACGATCGTAAGACATCTCCTATTTCCTCAGTGTGCTGTTCCTCGTTGCTAGTGAAACTGTTGAGAATATCGTCAAGCTTCAGAAGTGGCTGTCGTGCATCGTCCTTAGTGTGCCAGGCTTGCATATTTTTCAAAGTCCTTTCAATCCGTTGTCGGCGGCGTTTAATCATGGTCTGTGCAAAGTAATGGTTGAGCGTGACAGGATATCCTTGGCGTTCTACTTTGACAAGAAACCTAGTGTGATCAAGTGCGACACCGTAGGCTTTCGCCAATCGTGGTTGCAAATGCTTCCACAACCGCTGGCGCACATGCTCATCAGGGCATACATACACCAAGATGTCGTGAATGCAACGATGAATTCTTTCTATGACGCGACGCACATAGCTGGAAGCGTGGTAGTGCCAGCTATTTGTCTGCTCGTAGATTAGTGCCGTGATCAGAGATGGATTCGTGCTACCGATCTCAAAGCCACGAAATTCTTTGTGTTTACGAGCAATCCAAGCGTCGATCGGTTCATCATTCTGTGCCGGTGCTTCGCTATCTGGCTGTAATATCGTGCGAAGCTCAGGGAAGTCGCGAGTAGAATTTGACTGATCACCTTCTCCGTCTTCAGACTCTGGCATCGTGGCTTCGTCCTCAGACTGTGAACCGTTACCGGAATCACGTGATGCGAACGCTCGATGTGCGCCGCGCTTCGCCAGCGTGACGGAAAAGTTATCACTTTCCTCCATAACCACCGTTGCAAGACGCATGTTTGGGTTCCGATGAAAACATTCATCCCGTCCGTAATGCGCATCGGTCGCTTTGTTGATCAGAGATTGATACTGTGACGCCAATTGTAAAAGGAAGACACGTTGTGATTCTGTTGATCCTCTCGGCTGGCCAAGCACTTGTAACTTCGTCTTTGTGACAGACAGCTTTCTCTGGATCTCGGCCCGGACTTCGTCAAAGCTCTGTCGAGATGCTTCTACGCTCAGAGTGTTCAGACGCGTCTTGAGTGATTGTATGCCGGCCCGATCACTCGCAACCGCTTTCCATGGAGATTGTGCGAAAAACAATCCCTCGTTCGTGTTGCGTTCATGGAGTGGAGTCTGTAGGTCCCGTTGAGAGCGGTTGCAGACGACAACATATCCAAGCCCAGAAGACGAATGTACTTGGTTGACTAAATCGATCACCTCGCGGGCGTGAGCATATGTACACACTGGCAGCAGGGCAAACATACATGTGCCTCGGCACCTTTGTCCACGAGATCCGGCTTTGTCAGGACCGCCAGTGTTCGGTCCCGACCAGGATCGGCATCTTCGGCCATCTGGATGATTTCTTGCGTAGCTATGTCCACATTAGCAGGGACGACAGCTCTGACTCTGTTAGTGACAGTGGCTGCACAGAATCCAGGGACACCAACAGGATAATGCTACGCTCGTTCTGAAGGTGCATCGACACCATGTCCCTGACCAACAGCATATCCTCCTTTGTCGTCAGGCCTTCTGTCGGCTCTGCCGTACGTCAGCGGTATCTTTTTGGTACGAAACATTCTGTCACGTACTTCGAAACAGACCCGGTAGATCAACGACGCTGAAATGATCATGGTCCGGGCCAGACACTTCGATCTTGAGAAGGTCGTTGGAAAACGATCGCTGGACGTCACGGTCCCCCTCACACCCGTTCAGGGGGCTCAGCCCAAGCAGTTGAGTAGTCTAAGAGAGCATGTTAGCATCATAGCGCCGCTGGCCTCAAGTCAGGGGTGAAACCAGCCTCTTCCAGTATGCTAAGCAGGTCGGGATGTGCTAGCGAGGCATTCTGCTGGCTCCATCGTTGGGTGAAAGCTTGCAAAGGTTCTCCATTGAACTGACTGACACCCGCAGCAGGGTTGATGCTGACGTTCACGCTACGCTCTTGCTGTCTTTTGAAGACGATTTGAGTGGGAAATCTGGTACACAAAGTAGAGTCCCGAGGAAATGGCAGTCCGGTCAAAGCTTCCAGCACCGAGCTTTTGCCACTGGACTGGTCCCCGACCACGGCAAGCTTCATCTTTGTCAGTACTTGGAGCGACCATCGATGAAGTACAAACATACGACTGGCAATGACACTAATTGGTCAAGGCGAAGACCGTACAGTTGATCTATCTTCTCCAGTCGTTCTGCATCCTCGATGAGCATGACTGCGACAGCTCCCTACAGCAAAACTGCGACTGTTGTGTCAATGGATTGATTGCTGTTCGAAACGGCTTGACGTCAGGATTTCTCTGAAGACAGCATGACGGAGTCCTACCTGGCTTCGGACATATATATAGCTGTTGCGCACTTCTGATAGTGTGCGCTTCACAGATTCACGTTGGACGGCGACCGAAATGACATCAACAACGCTAGGGGAACTGCAAATATTGCAACGATCTGCCATCTGGTTCAAAATTGATGGCAGTGACGATATTTTCCGTACGCGGGCAGACAAAGTGCGCAACAAGAAGGAATGACATGAGCTCCGGATTTTCCGACATTTGCTGACCACAGACGCAGGACATAGAGGACTTTGTAGAATCAGTGCTTGAACAAGTTCGGGACAGCGCACACCCGGATTTTCTGCCTACTTCAGGGCACTGGTGTTTGCGACACGATGGTGCCGAGCTCCCCTTGACCAAGTTGCCGATGAAAGACGGAACGGTCTTAGAGGTTGTTCGCAGCTACGATCCTGAAGAAGAGGAGGAGAATAACACCGCCGACGGAGCTCCGACAGAGCGGCAACCGAAGAAAGCGATGAAGTGGACATGCTCACATCCAGAACACCTAATCGAGCACTCGGAGCAGCAGACGAGCGTGATCGTCCTGCCGTCGCACGACATGATATTCTTGCATCTACAGTGGTTTGTGCGGTGGATCTCCAAAAAGAAGAATGTCAGCTTGCAACGCCTGTTCGACCAGGAATGCATAGTTGAAAGGGCAGCCACACCGGATCAGCTGTTTGCAATAGTGGGTGCAAAAAAAGAAAGGCTCTGGTCGATCGAAGTGTCGGATCTGAATGATCTACATTCCGAAGCCGGAAAAGCTTCAATAGGACCTCGGAAGCTCAAGGTCCCTATAACGACGTTACACAAGTCGAGGCAGCTTAAGATAGTTATCACTACAACTTGGTAACAAGTTGATAGATGGAACAGTGCTAGGATAGCTCTAGTGTGCTTCGGGAATTCGATAGTGGTTTGTTCGACGCTGCGGGCCTAGGCACTCCAGGCTAACCAGTGTACTCCGTAGCTTCTCTTCAACCGATTACATTTCCCGCTGCCCTCATGCGGCCAAGGTTAGAGGTTCTGCCGTCGACTACATCGCCTAAGGCCATGAAAGCTGTTGTCACTACTCACAGTGTAGTAGTGTGTGGGCACTACAACCATGGTCCCAACGTTCTGCCAACCGTTTGGTCAACGCCAAGTCCCTTACAGATTCCAAGATGCAACTTCAGCCTCGGGTGCCATCTCAGCTTCTGGTACAGGACAAGTTTCCACTATCGACTCCAGCGTTTGACCCGACTCCATTGTTTCTAGTGAAGCCACATTGGCCTTTTTCAATCTCTTTTTCTCTTTCTTGGACAGTTTGGTTGTTGTAGTAGCTGTTGCATCCACATTGTGGAGATCTCTAGGCATGATGTGTTTATGCCAGTCAACGAAACTAGCCCCAGACGCCAATGGGCAGACGACATCGCCCGCTTGATGCAGATCTTTGTGATCAGGATCTCGGTGCCAATGGAATCGGCACGGGCCTCCGTTCGACACTTGGCTCGGGACATAGCCTTCGCACGATGCCAGGTAGAAGTCCCTGCCGACCTCTGGCAAGCTTCCGAATACTGGGGCCCACAGATCCATCTCTCCACGCTGTGAAGGGTTGTGCTTGACATCTCTTGTTGCTCTATTTAGCAAAACACGAAACATTTTTCGAAGTGGCGTGTTCGAATGCATTGCACTGTACACTCGCTCGACGATACCTGGTTGGAGCCTCCACTCTTCCTTCGCCAGCTTCTCACGAAGCATATCCAAGGCCTGGTTGTGTAATGCTTCGAAGCAATATATCTCTGCGAAGATCGCCAATTCGACGACGTCTTCGGGACAGCTGGCTTTGTTTAGCGCAGGCTCTGCTGCATATGACCAAATGACAAAGTGCTCGAGTATACGGGTGGGAGTGGTAGTAAAATCGATAGACGCCTTGCTTCCGTTTTCCACTGACCACTGGACAGTCTTTCGGACAAAATCAGAGCGTTTGTAGATGAAGTCGCAGGGCACGAGAAACACGCTACCATCTGGTCCTCTGATCTCGACAAGGTCACTTTGCAGTGCACTTCGTTCTCCTCGTTAGTTGGGAAGTCTTTCTGTGTTCGGACTCACTCAAGATATAAAGATCGCAGATCCGTGTCCATTGCCATGACAATGTTCATCACCTATTGAGGCGAACGTCTTGAGTGCTATGTGTCTCTGATCACCACTGCAGAATATCGCCCGGTGACATTCATCAAGTCTCTCATGCAAGCACCGGGCCTACAGACAGAATTTATTGCTGGTCTATTATTAAGCGCTTTACTAGCCGCGAATATTGGACAGCATGGACACTTCAATGATTTAACTACAAGGAGTCAAGAATATGCAGGCCACTGAACCTGGTGACACCAACGTCTGCATTGCATGTTCTCGCCGCCTAATCTGTGGCTGCATGAACGATTGATCTCCAGGCGCCAGCACTGCATATGGGACAAAGCGGAAGGTGGGCCCGATAGTTGTTCTTTCTGTATCCTATTGTGACTTGACCAGCTTGACCCACACAGCAACCGATTACTGCACCGGACATGCATCGTACATGGATTGCATGCTTTCAGCGCATTGTCCTAACAGAAACAGGAATGACAGGTGACCTTTCGAGTTCCCCAAAGAACAATAATCGGTGGTGGTGATGTAGTCGCCGCTGCTGCTCAGAGTGCTGCAGATCGGACGTTCAAGAAAATACTCAGCATGTAGAGCCAGAGGAAGGCCCACGATCATCCGTCTTTCCATCTTTTGAGCTGTCATGAGTCTTGCATCTGGACTAAGACTCAGAGTCTCAGCAGGTAGGATGTGCCGATTGGCATGGCCAAGCCTACGACTTCCTGAATTGAGCAAAGCACATGCGGCCACGAGCTTTGCCCATCGTCCGCGGTTGTCTGTATCAACACAAAGACGACTGGATATGCGCTCAACTTTGAGCATCACTTATTGCGGTTGTGTCGATGACCTGCCAATGTTGTTTATGAACATGTATCTACACTGTACTACTTTAACCCAATTGTTTATGAGCAGGGAACGAATTCGTCTGTTGAATATCCTTTCACGGGAACGCTGGTCACGACCGAAGTGTTGGCCTGCCTTAAGTCACGGATGCTGATAATCTTGGCGACCAGAAAAGCATCCTGGGCTGCATGCATGAAATGGAGCAAGCTGCACAAGGTGCTGCGGCATCGATGGCAGCACAAGCATCTATCATGTTCTATGCTCCATCGAGTACGCTTACGGCCAACAGCAAGGAAACCACTGATATATGCATGATAGGCTGGAAAGTGAGGCGCAATGCATGCGAAACTTCTGGAAAGTGAGGCGCAATGCATGCGAAACTTCTGCATAATGACACGCCATGATTGGCCATGTAACTCCATTAGCAGCATCGTGTGGTAAATCAGATCCCAGGCTTCGTGGGCTGCTTTCACGAAGCAATTATAGTGTGCTGGAACAAACGCATGATCGGAAGGAAAAGCCCGTCACAGCCGTACCTGCCTCGATGTCAATGGATGACTCTCTCACTGCGATACGGGTCAATGTGAAGTGATGCTTGCCCGTGAAATATCGTCTGTACTTAAAACACTTCACCTTGGGTGACAGTACTTCCAGTTCTATGTGCTTTGCCGACACAGTACCTGCTTCACGCTCCCAGTACATACAATATTCAGTGAGCATGCCCAGAAGGAGAGGTTCCCAAGCAAGCACGAAAACATCGTTTATATATCCGCACCTTCATGCGGACGTGGTCGAAGAGGTCTCAGACGAAATTCCCTCTATCTGGTATTGCAGAAGCAGTCAACAAACCCCAAGTCACAAGTATCCAACTCATGTCATGGGCAAGTTCAGATGTGGCAACACAGCCTGTTTGGCGAGCGGTTGAAGCAGCAAAAAGATGGCGATACAAATTCGAGGATACCCAGGCAATGGGTACAATGCGGTAGTTTTCAACCAGCGGTGTCAAGCGTGCAATCAGTTGGGGCATTCTCAATTTAGATAAGGAATCATATATAGACCGAATCGTCTACCGTGTCAAGAAATGGGCAGGTGTCTCAGTGGAACGACAGGACTATGCGCGGAGACAAGGGGAACCTCACAAGAGAGACCTTTGTGAAGGGTGTAAGAAAGGTGTGTGCCGACAAGCGTATGACGGGAACTTCAGTTAACGGCTGTGACAACGAGCTTCTGATCACACGAGATTACTGTGCAGAGAATAAACAGGATCGACTAGCGTTCAGGGCAAACTTTCGGCTTCATTTCAAGATATTCGTTATACATTCTTCTGATGCGTCTAATCGAAGCACTTGCACCTGCACTTGTCCCGCGTCTTCAATCGTTGGGGTAGAGAAACACCGCACAGTGTGAGATATTGCCGTGGTTAGATCGGGTAGTGTCGATTTTAGAATGCACCAAAAGAGCAAAACATACGTTGTGCCTCACTTGAAAGGTGTCATTTTGTGCGCACAGGGCATAGCGACCATCAAATCTTGTGCATCGTGCAATGACCAGTCTGGGTCTACTGTCAGGGGAATCAGTCTCAGCTGACACACTCATTTCTATCACATCTTCGCAGTTGGGTGATTGTCATTAAGGCTATACATGCAAAGATGGATCTACCACTGGCAGTCCAAAACTGGGTACAGACTAATCTGTGGCCAGATGTACCCTGATCGAAGATACAGCGGGTAACGATTCACCGGTAGTATTTGGGATGGCCAGCGTAGGTGGCTGTAGAGAATTTGCCTCAAGACATGGGAAGTCTATACACCGATTGCTGCTCAAACACCAGACAGTTGCACTCTGGCTCCTCTGATACCTGTATGTGTCCGTCCATACACGATATTTGCCGAATGCCAGCATAGACTGCTGAACGCTGGATACTCAGGGTCTCACGGCATGGAAAAGATTCAATGGCGCTCAACGTGAGCCAACACAAACTCTTGATAGCTGCCGCTCCTTCCAGCGCGAGAAATGAGGGCAAGTTATCTGGACAAGGGGAGTACAGCTGTGAGTAGTCACGACAGTCATGCTCAACGAGAGTGAACAACGTTACTTAAGCCTTATTTTCCACCCTCTTCTGATCTTGGTGCACAACTGGGGGGACGATACGGCAGAAACCAGAGGTAAATGGTAAGGACACACGGTATAGATCTACAGCAAGCTATTCGAAGACAAACACCATCTTGGCGTCACTAGTCAACAATGATAAGAGATCTGGCGAGCTGCGTAAATATTTGAATACGTCCACATCATGGACGGCCTCTTCGTGACAACAGCGACAAATGAGCACCAGGATTAATGACGTGGCTTCGCTATCCAACGATGCACAGGGAAGAAAGCTCGAGCTTGAGCAATTATCATGGCAGGCCTCTGGAACGCCTTGCTTAAGGGTGGGAGTTTCGGGGTCAGCTTTAACCGTCTGACCGCTGAATTCGTCTCCTATCACGAACGTGTAGCTGTCATCTTGACTGCGAATTGCTCCTTCCACTGTCGACGATATATTGTAGCGCCTGTGTGAGGTCTGAAGATCACCGAAAAAATCGCAATGCCAGGCTGATTAAGACAGTCGGCCGTTGAAGAAGATCTCAGGCTCACAGCATGCGACATAGTAGATGCTAGTTCAGCTCTATCCCATCGTTTCCTGATGAACCGACACTCTTCGCCTCTTCTTCCGCGAGAGCTTTTCTCTGCTCTTGACCCTTCCTGATGGGATCAGACTCAGGAATCTCAAGTGCATGCGGTGAGCAGGTTCTTCAGTGTCTCGAAGAGTCTGCACAGATAGCCATCGTCAGGTATGGCTCGGTCCTGATGACCAATCCAGAAAAACTCATCAGCTATGATATCGTCAAATGCATGATAATGGCTTTCCTGACCCAGCTTTACCCTTTCTGGTGACGCAAGCAGACGGCGAACCTGTTGTAGCATTTTCCCCAGACGCTCGTTGAATATCGGAGGCTGCTCCACCGAGGTTTGTACTACCGCCATCCACAACAGCCGGGTCGTCGAGCGGCCTGACCTTCTAAGGACCCAGAAGAAATACTGCGGAGCAACAAAGACGCGCATGAGAAAGTCGTCGATATGATAGCCCTTCCTGACGATCCTTTCCACATGGGAAGATGTGCACGCTTGCCTGGAGCGATCGACGAGCAGCCACGGGAGCACAATACCGACCACGATATCATCTATATCGCATTAGCCCTAATACAATCACACATCATGCACGTATACTGCCTTGACATTGTTGTTGTGTCTCCGCTGCTCTCGAGAGATCGGCAGTCTCAGTCATGACAAACTGTGACTGATCCGATCTTTTGTCGACTGGGAGAGTGCCACATGCATCTAGGTTAGTGACTAGTACTCGACACGTATGGCTGGTGGATGGCTGAAGTCCAGTTTCCGTGCTCTCGACGTTGAAGCTGAATAGCATAGATTCACTCGCCTAAACTGCATCCAATGTGGTTCCGTCAGTGTTGCTCAACGTCATTTTTTTGTTTGAGAGTTGATCTTCTGAAATCGGACCGTTCGTTGGCCTGCTTTTGGCTGTTCTTGGCGGGAGCCATAATATGTCATTCCACGCAAAAGGGTGGTCTGTTGCGACGATGCGATGAATTCCATGGTACCATTACCCATGGAGCATGGGCGTGCCCAGGCATCGATGTACGTCTGAGTGAGAGTGTGTCAGAATTTGGGCTTCTTTGTTTGTTGTGAGATAGAAAGATCTCCGTACCATTATTGACTATCGTTTTCGTGGGTACTCCGGAGTTTTCCGAATTTGTAAAATTACCTTCGATCTGCACAGCAGAATAAGTTCAGGCGCGACTACCGGCTGTCTACAGGAAAGAGCCAGCGACATCTGGTTGAAGTTGCATTAATTAGCTCACAGCTCTTGGTATGGACGTGTCGACGGACGAGTAATCCGGCACTTAGTCCATGGCTGTTTGCGAAAGCTATGTGTATACAAGTATCTACTACAGCTGATGAAGCGGTTCCAGAGACGTCTCACCTTTCATGCAGCACATTGTTAAAACAAAGAACTTTTCGAAAGACGGCTGAGGTCAAGCTAGCACTGGTACCAGCTCTTCTTCCAAGTCATGATGACGGACAAGTCAGTAGATGACTGACTGGACTTGCTCAAAGGAGCCTGACAGCTGGAACGTAGGCTCGGCTTCCCTGATGTATTTGCAGAACACATGTTCGATTGTGAAACTTAGACATTGGTCAAGCGTCATTCTCCCAACACATGCCGTTGAAGTCGCCGTGGTCCCAAGTAACTCGTCTTATCACAGGCCAGCATTCAGTACCAGCTTTCTGAATGAGCACCTGCTTCACAGTTAGGACTCGCTCAGCGTCGTTGATGCCTGAGGGGCCACTGTGTGCCAAATAGGCTAAGGCACAAGTACCTTTTTGCACGTGGTGTACTCCAGTGCCATCGTAGTCTGAACCATCGAGCAAGTGGTTCAGCCCACCAACCCGTTTCGGTACACCATTTTTGGTTTGGTGTAAACCACTCCAATGGCTCACACCACCCAGAAGCGATACACCATCCCTCCAGTGGTCCACACCATTTTTCTCATGGTCTGCACCAGCTATCCAATGGTTTGAACTTGCTTTAAATTGGGCTACACCATGCGAGATATGGTTCAATGTAGTATGAGCTATTTTCGATGGTTGTTAACACGAAACCTCGAAATCCTGTCACTGCCGACAAAGATCTTACGTCGCGAGTGAGGCAAGTCGTCGTCAGCTTTACGTTTTGGCAATATCGACGTTGAGGTTAAGAACGCATTGGACTCGTCGACGGGCACCACAACAATCACTCTATCTTCGCTTTCCACGGCAGCAGCAAAACATTCAGACGGATGCATTGAGCGTCCGTGTTCATCAAATAGCAGGCAACCTTGACGACGGAATCGTGAGGCGATTCCTTTGACTTTCTCAGCAGCTTCTTCTCGATTGTGGACCGCGATTTCAGCTACGACCCTTCTGTTTGCGATTGGCCACCACAAAAAAGATATGTCGGAAGTGGGTATTTCGGATGGCAAAGAGACAGTACTCTCCTCGTCATAAAGAGGTGTGATATCCTGTACCCTGTCAGTGACTACCTTTTCGAGTCAGGGACTCGTCGAAATTACCGTGTAATGACTCTGTTCCTGCGAGTAATGACTGGCGGAGTAAGTTACTTGCAGCTGAGGCTCGACGGGCTCTGCTCGTTCTTCTGGTCCTGTTGTCGCCGAACTTGCAGGCGAGTACAAGCGCCGTCTCTCGCTACGCAACATTAGAGCTGTGCTTTCGTTCACGTGGTCAGGCGCGGCGGGAGATGAATTCGCTATGGCACCATGGTCCGAGGACATATCACAATCCGACGGCGCTCTCTCTCCCGTTTGACCGTCACTGCATCCAAACAGCGACAGATACACATCTCGCCGGATGTAGAAAGCTGAAAGACCTCCGGTATGTGAAGAGTCGGCCATGTGCATATTGTGCATGGACAAATATGGCGCACTTTGTTCGAAAGCCCGCTGGTAGGGCCGTCCGCGTCTACGCTCGATGTCGCATTCACCCGGCCCCTCGATAATCAGCTGTGGTGTCTGTGTAGGTATATTCGCTGGCTGAGCCTGGTTGAATATGTGTATGATGCGGTCGACCAAGTTTTCAAATTGTTCGGGCAGGTACGTGAAATGGCTGGACGGTCGAGCGCGCAGCAACGTCTCCCGTGCCTCTCTACGATCAGGAGCCTCCTCCAATTTCTCGGCGATCTTGGCCGACCAAAAACCTAAATGACGCACCTCCCGAGCGAAATCATGTTCGATATAAAAGTTTTTGCGTCGACGTTCGATGCGGTCGCAGCCTTCGCGCAGAAGAGAGCCTGGACGCAGGTCATCGAGATAGTGCATGGCAAGCAGCCAGAACTCTCGGTACGCGTGATCGAAATCCACGGGACCTGGGGTCTGCGAAGTGTGTTCTGATGTCAGAAAAGATTGTCTACATGCTTCTCGTATGGTCTGTCGCTGTGTGGGCTGGATCAGCATCGTCACGCAGGAAGCGATGTCCTTCAAGTACTTCAGGTCGTGGAAGAACGTCTCCAACGATGGCACCAGTCTTCGAAGCGTTAACAGCCGCTGCCAGATCTCCCGACGAGAAGCTGGATCGAACGCTCGGAAGACGGATCCATCCTCGAACATCGGCTGCAGCCAATCCCGGTCCTGGCGACAATTGGCAGGACAGCGTGACTGTAAGCGTTCGACCGTACGATGATCTACCATGGCCAGAGCGGCTTGGTTGTCGTCGAGAAGAAACATCCACGTGCGGTAGATATGGGATAGGGAGTGGAGTATCTCTTCGTCGCATTTGATTCCCATCAGTGCACGAATGTTGCCCACCTGCATGGATGCACCCAGTGCTGGCATGCCTGCCAGCGGACGAAACGACTCATTCAGCTTCTTCCGTGCGAGCAGTAGTTGCACTTCCTTCCGACCATTTTCGGTTTGAATGAGTGCTAGCCACCGGTTGATCTCTTCGACATCATCAGGGTCGCAGCGGAGGATGTGAAAGTAGATTTCCCCAGCAGTCAGTGGCATCTCGTTGGCTGTTTGTTCAATCAGATGCGCACGCAGCTCGGGTGTTAGGGCTGAGCAGAGTTAGTCTAGCAACGTTGTGGTGTCCCCAGCCCCCTACCTGACGAATATAGGTCTACGACCCACCACTGGTCTGAATTCGACAGATATTTTCGTGCAGCCACGATACGATGCTGACCGTGGAGGCATTCGATATGCACACCAGCCGCCAAGGTCAACACTGGCCATCGAGTTGGGTCATCACTCTGAAGGTCATCAGCAGATGCCCCCGCCTCCCTGAGTGCGGCACGTAGAAGTCTCAGATCTAGCACCGCAGGAACGTGGTGTTGGGCATCGATGCGCTGACACCCCGTCAGTTCAAAGCTTGTCAGGAGGCGCTTAATGTTGGCTTCGTTGAGGTCTCGCGCAGAGGAATGAGTGAAGTCGAGATCTCGAAGTGGTATCTTGGCACAGCCCTGGAAATACTCCCTCTTCGCTCGAGCGAGCTGAGTCTCGGCAAGCGCGGCCGCCCGTTGAGCTCCGCGAATCACCTTCGGTCGTGTAGGCATAGGCAGGGTGCGATGAAGCATAAGTCATACCACATTAGAACTCAAAGAGCAGAAAACACTGTCGAAAATCCCAACCGACCTAGCACAGGCATGGGAGCATGAAGCACTTGCGCCAGTACCACGACCACGTGCAAGCAGTAACACTGGGAAACCTCACCACGATAACATGTGGGAATCAATTTTGTGCGTCACGAACCTCCCTACGTGGTCCCGTATTCTTGCCGTTAGCCCTCAAGTCCGAAGGACACAACGACTAACGCGTTTGTGGTGATGAAACGCTCATAAGTCGAAGCTGTGGTATTGTGTTTCGATTGATCTCGACAGTTGAGTATGGTCTACAGATACGTGGTGACGTAGCCGAGTGGTGTCAGATTAGTGCAAGAAGTGGAGGAAAGTATGCCAAAGTTGTGAGATTTCGATGTTATCGCACTACAATGTCTGGTCCGAGATGCTACGCAATTCCGATGTACGTCAAGATTCTTTTTCGGGTTCCTTAGAACGGCGCAGCACAAACCTGGAGGACATGTGTACTAAGTAAAACAAATGACGCAAGTTGACTATTTTGGAGGACTCGACCAGAAAAGGATGCTATAAGAATCAGTATCTCGTTCTGTGGGGTCTTCTTGGTTGACAACCTGCCTGAAGGAGGGAGTCGAGTTCGTCACTTTGTGTGGCAATTTGAAATTCTCGCAATCTCGTGCAGTCTGTGTTCGGGTCGTCTGCCAGAGCCACTGTATCATCGTCAACATCCTCCTCAGCGTCAGCGACGGCAGCAAGCTCTAGCACGATATCCCCCACAGCTGCAACACTTTGACGTTGCGCACCAAGATTGTGAGGGTCAAAATGGCAAGATTCATCCAAGACTGCACCCTGACACATTAGCGATGGATAACCTTCTTCGGATCTGTTTGTCATACAAATTTTCACCCGTCCGTCAAGGTTCGCAAGAATATTGAACATCCTCAAGCGGCCATGTACGATGTTGTGCTGCGCCATCGCCTTCAATCCGTGGAAGATCTGTGCTCGTTAATTCTACAGCTGGTCCAGACGCATGGACGACATACTTGGCGGGCAATCGCAGCGATCTCGTCTTCTCTCGGACGTCTGACGGCACTAGCGACTTGGAGTAACGACATGTCCATAGATTCAAACACAAGAAATTGTTCGTTCCCAGCGTCAAACCACTCCATGAATTGAACCACGTACTCACTGCGACATTTACTAAGTACCGCGATCCTTTCATCTTCGTCTTTCAATTGGCCTTGACGAATCAAAGTTAGAACACTGGGTGAATGTCGTTGGGAAGCCACGTAAAGAAATCCTCCACCAAAGTTGACCTCGTATCCACTGCAGTACTGTGACCACACCGTGGCCAATCGAGGTGTACGAGGTGTATGAGGTGTTAAGCTTCTGACAGCTGCCAGCTTGGTAGATCCCGAACGACGCACGGCAAATGAGTCGCCCGGAATCGCCGTGCTTAACTTACGCTTCCTCGGCTGTAGGTCTTTTGCTCGTTCAGGACTCTCAGAGGTGATACGATCTTCTGGCTGATCAGGTGTCCGTTCGCCCTCGGGAGCTCGAATTTTTTGGTGTGCTCGGCTGGTGTCATGCTCATTCATGCGACTCTCTGCACGACGAGCTGAGGTTAAAAGCTGTCGAAGTCTTTGTTTGCCATTGTCCCCGTAGATATGGGTTGACCGATCGCGTTCCATGGCTGATCAAGGTTTAGAGGAGGGTATGTGAAGTCCAACCCGACCTTTTACACTACCTTCTCTTTGACACCACATCAAGAAACAGCCTTAAGAGGAAAGACAGACCGGTACTCGACCTTGGGCAATTTGAGTGACGAAAACAGGTTCGTTCTGTTATAAAACCAATGGTGGAACGACTGTTGCGTATTGAAGTCAAGTCAGGGCAAGGTGTGGGAGGAACTGCGATTCGTACAAGTGAGTCCTACGTGCACCTCGTACAGCCGCGAACGACCGCCATTTCCACCGAAGACTGTGGCTCTGGCATCGTACACACCATGACTTTTAGTCTCGCAGTGAACAAAGCGTAGATATCAGCAAAGCTGTGGGTTGGTGTACAGCGTATTTTTTATCGCTCCAATTCTTTCTCTTCGCCATGTTGCAACTTTGGAGTTGTAAGCACGGAAAACTGCCGCCATGTTGAGCGTGTCGTCTCTGGACATCTACGCGGCGGTCTTGGCAGCCATGCTGCTTGTCCTCTTCATGCACAACACGATCAGCGTGATTCTTTCTGAGTTGGAGTGGCAAAGATTGTCCTCATTCACCGCTGTGCTGTCCAGGAACATCTTTGAAGAACGTCACTGGCCGTCTTGGACATGGTGGTCACTCGTACGACAAGTATTCTTGCTCACTGGTAATGTATTGTTAGTATTCGTGGGGATGACTGACATCAAGGATGCTGCACGTGAGGCTGGGACTCTCGCGATGCTCAACATGGCCTTCTTCTACCTCAGTCCACATCTGTCATACCTGGGCGATCTGCTGGGTCTCTCCCTCGATACCGTCAAAACTCTTCATCGGATGATGGTGTTGCCTTTCCTCTTGCTTACCGTCTTCCACTTGGTTGTTCTGCACCCTGCCCAGAACGTGTTCGCCAAGCCTTTCTCCAAAGAACTGTACGGTGTGATTGTAAGTGGGTGAAATATAGCGGACAGACCAGCATCTGACCGTGCCCTAGGCATCCCTGGCTGTGGCAGTGTTGCTCCTGTCAGGATTTCGACCACTTCGACGTCGTTTTTACGAAGCATTCCTTCGTGTTCACCAGGTTCTGGCTGGCCTGATTCTGTGCATGGTGTGGATGCATATTCGTGACACGACCAACAAGAGGGCACAATATACTGCGATAGTAACTGCCGGCGTTTTCGGCAGCCTAGGCTTAGGACAAATAGTTTGGATCCTCCTCTCGAACAAGCTGTTTGCGCGTGGTTTTCCTCGAGCCCGCACTGTGGCGATAGCCAACGTCCTACACATGACTGTCGAGTCACCAATCAAACTCAAGGTTCACCCAGGGCAGTACATCAATCTGTGTTTACCAGGAGTCAGTATCTCATCCTTTCTACAAAGCCACCCCTTTATCGTGGTTTCCGCGCGACATTGTGACGACAAGACCGTCCTAGAGCTGGTGATTGAGGCGAAACGTGGGTGGACGTCCAGGTTGTTGGCCCAGCCTGATTATGCTCCGCATGCCCTGGATGGGGAGACTGCACCACGCCAGCAGTCCTTCCGCTGCATCTTCAGCGGTCCTCATGGCCCCCGTCATGTCTTGGACGATTATGGTGTCGTGGTCCTGGTAGCGTCAGGCTTGGGAGCAGTAGGTTTGCTGCCTTACCTAGAGTATCTCCTGCAAGGACATAGCAATTCTACGGTGAAGGCTGGCCGGATTCATCTGGTGTGGCAACTACGACATCCTGGTAAGTGGTCGGTGGTTTCGTTCTATAATGCTTCTGCTGAACCGAGTTTAGAAGACGGGAGACCAGTCTCCGACTTGTTGGATCATGCTTTGGATGCAGATGCAGTAGACAGTGGCTATGTACGTGCTCATAGGCATCATCAAACGCAGACACCACGACTGACCGCGGCAGATCATGAGAGTGTCAATCTACCACTCGTCTGGAGAGAGTCCACCTCGGCCGGGGCGACGAGTGACCTTTTACCAAGGCTGGGCTGATTGGAAAGAGCTGATCGACAGTGAGCTGCATCAAACTCAAAAGACCGTTCCGGAGCGTGGCTGTGGAAGTACAACTGTGGAACCGCATCCATCGCGATCAGCATTCGTCCACCAACGTTGCCGCACGTTGGTCCTAGGTATGAACCCATGTCTTTGTGTCGCCGTGCAGCTTGCATCGACTAACAGCGATCCTGGATAGTGTGTGCTACGCGAGGGATAAGACGTCAAGTTCGACAGCTCTGTCACCAAACTACTACCGCACAAGTGAGCTGTGTCGAGCTCGACTACCAACCTGACGACTGAAATTGATGACTGGAACAGCAAGCCTTTTTTCATCACGGAGAAGCGAGATGCTTCGTCAGTCCTGCTAGATAACGGCATGTCCCGGCATGGTCGGAGAGAGCCGAAGCAAGAACCACTCAAGAACGACTTCGTAAGCTGGCGATCTAGGGGAACATGATACCAATTGACGGGTTGTTGGTTTCAATATAGTCAACCTCATCAATGACATACAAGAGCTCTCGCGGACCATCGGACCCAATGCTAGAGATCTAAGGCAAGACCATGGTTCCATCCACCTTCCATCTGTAAATGTTATATACGAAAACCCGTAATACAGGGACGAACAGGCTCGTTCCCTGGTCACCTATTCCTTCTTGAGCTAGAGCTTTGATTTTGCTACGCATAGATTCATCTCTTGACAAGATAAGCACGAGCGACGAATAGGACAAGCAAGCTGTGGGGAAGTAGCTTGATTCACTATTGGAGGTTTGACTTGACCTGCCACATCAGACTTGGTGCAACGTCAAATGTCTGATGAGGACGGAACTGTATCTATACACGTTATGAACAAGGAAACTCGTGGTAGAAGGCAGTAACAGGCATACATCAGCAGCACCTTGAACACAAACACCGATTTATGTGGCACCGCGTAGCATTCAGACAAGATGCCTGGCTCGATGTACTAACACATTCGCGCTGATCACGTGTTACGACAGCACCGCGCACCTGAAACGCTCGAGTGCATCTTACTGCTCAGACGCAGAGTTTTGCCAACTTTCATTGTGGCATTTCCTACACAAGACTTGTGGTTGGTATGCACATGTGCTCCACATCTACCCTCTGAAGCGTTACGTCGTGGTATCTGTCGATGTGCAAAGTTTCGGAGCTAAGCACAGTGACTGTTGCTAGCACGGATCGTCTTCAGCAACTCGTGCGACAATTTCTCCCCGTATTCTGCAGAGTCAACAGTGATGTTCTTGCCATGGACGACTGTATGTTCGATCCGCTCGACCTCGGCGAGTTGGAACAAGATTCTGGCCCGATGCTCAAGTTCTGCTTCTGATTGAGCTACTGCCCAATCATGAGTCGTTGCCGTCGCTCGTTGCCGTCGCAATCTTCCATCAGAAAACACCTCCCTTCTTGCTTTCCTGTCAAGGTCTTCCGCCAGAATTCGAATATGCTCGCTCATCACAGCAGCAGATATCGCCATCCGTGTCTTGCCTCGTACCTCAATCCTATGAGGCTCGAATCTGTGAGGATGGACCGGAGCTTGATCCGGACGAGGCTGTACAGGGAAGACTACTTTGAGCCTATCTCTGAGAAGTGAAACTGTTGCGCTGTCGTGGTTTCCCTTATACATCCCCCATACCCGAAGATTCTTGGACTGGACAGAAGCAGGTTGCACAAGAAGAGGATTCAGGTACAGGGTCACAGGATTGCAAGAAAGATGAAGCACAAGGATGGTAGCTCTGCTAGAGCGACACATCACCTGAGGCAGCTGAAGTCGTGGTGGCAGTGAAGAGCTGTAGCAATATGCAATACGACCAATACCACCTAAAAGGGTGGCGTTTCTGCCTGTTTCGCCCACAAGACCTGACGAGCTAGGCGATGACCGCACAAGCCTTTTGTCGTATTTGCCTACTTCTGAACACGCTTGGCCTGCCATTGACATGACAGTTAGTGGGCCATACATCCTGGAGGGACAAGATCCGTAAGCATAACAACAGCAGCATACAGATGGCCAGAAAGACTACACTCTCCCATGTTGGAGGTCAATTAGAACATCAACACCGAGGAAGCATTCGACTTGCTAAGATCTGTTCTAAGACTACCTCGACAGCAGCGCACAAGTGCAGATCCACAAGTCCCGAGTGTGGTCCATAAGGTTTACTACCAGTGACTCTACGCAGTAAGCTGTGCAACGATGACGAGCCGCTACGCATAGTTTACTTCAACATCCACGGATCACTGACGTTCCACCCCTTTCCAAGGTCAGAAGATGGTCTGCAGACCTGACGAGGTTCGAGATCTTTGCCACGCTTTGTCGAGGATCCATGAAGCAGTCTTGAGGACTACTCTAGGAGTTCGCAGGTCAACACTCCATCGTCGTGACATCGTTCGGCACATTTTAGGGTCGTTTGCTATGTATGAGACAAAGCGTGATGCGAGCGCAAAGATTGACCAGCGTTTCCGCCTGCTCCGCGTGCCGTTTCCTTGACGCACGATCGCTGGATTGACGCGTCCGACTGATGCGCGAGGCGGTCTTCCCAGTGGTTGCATATTCTGAAACCGCTAATTTCGTGCCGTGCTGCAGTGCCGCATTAGGACGGCGCCCACTGCCACCGCACTTCTTGGGATCGTGGTCTTCGATGCTTTCCTGCTGACGATATTGCACGTACTAGCACTTCTAGATGCGATCATGTCCCATGTTCTCCACTGATCGTGACCAGTCGAAATTCGTTGGGTTGATTCTCAGGAGTGGCACTTTCATTCTGCTAAGACAAATCCGATACGATGTGTGGATACTGTGCCTCGGTGTACTGACGAAATTTGAGCTGTGATGGTTGTGTCCTGCTTGTTGGCGAGGCGAATGCAGTTTGGGTGAGATGCGGGTCTCAGAGTCAGTTGCGACGTTCACAGCTCCACGGACATTGTTCGTTTCACCAGCAACATCGAGAAAACCCGTGGGAACCACTACAAATGGTGGTCAGTTGAGTTGAAGACTCTTGGATATTACATGCCCTGTTTGCGAGTGCCAACAGATCGCGTAGCAGCCTCCAGATCCGCCTGACCTGGTTGTCCGTTATCTTTGTCGGCCCGCCAATGAACAGAAGTCATTGATCAGTCTCAGTCTACGAGCAACACAAGGCACCACATATGACTCAACTCGTCAACACTTCGGGGAGGGAGACGCCAGTCACAGTGGCACCCACGTCGTGCTCCCGTCGTTGTACAAGCTCGCATCTCCAGCAAGCTGCGACATCATCTATTCGAGGTGGCAACAGCTCGCTGGCCGAGAAGATGAATCGTCTCAATCAGTTGATCATGCAGACGAAAACAATGTTGGAACGGATGGAAGCTGCAAGTCGGTTGAAAGATTCGAATGTGATGGTCCTGTATACCTGGCCTAGCGTCATCCACGCCGAGTATGCCGAGGGCAGGGCTGAGCGGGGGATTCTGTCCGCCAAAAGACATGCAAAGCAGCCAACGCGGGTGAGCAAAATGAGATCGTCTGGCAATACACAGTGTCGAACATCTGGCATCAGCACGTCCCAGCGGGTTTTGCCAGCCAGCCACCAGAACAAATGCATGAACACTTGAGTCGAACATGTCTCTGACAAGAAACTGCACACCGATGAATGGACTTCTGGCCTCAGGGCTAATCAGGCACAGACGAAGTCACAGTGCTCTGCCATAGTGACACACATACAGTACCTGATGTTCTATTTACATAGCTCCAAATGTTATCTCATTGTCTAGCAGGGAGGTATAGTCCATGTCATCAAAAGACACCGCCATTGACCTGTCCCGAAATGAAGACGTCCTTACCTGCCAATCTTTGATCCAGTCCTCGACTTGCTGAATCCTTGCCTTGTACTCCTCGTGCATTTTGGTTTTTCGCGCAGCTTCAGCGTTCCTGTGTTGCAAGGTGGCTTCGAGTTCCTTGATTCGTCTGGTCGACGCGTCAACCTTTACCTGGAGTTGAGTGACAAGTGGATCTTGCTGATCGACGCGGATTTTGGCTTCCTCCAGCTGTGATAACAAGTCGACGTTGTGAGATTGCAGTTCCGAGACCGTATGCCCAAATCCCTGCTTCACACTGTCTGCACCATCGCCGCGCATGCAATGGTGGTCTGTGAGTTCGGTACCACAACTGCTCGTACACGTACTTCGACCTTTCTCAAACACTATTGACAAGCTATCGGAGCTTGAGACTGGAGCATGCTTCGCAACGACTTCGATGGATGTTCCCAGTTCTCTGATGATCTCTCGGTATGTTCGAATATTGTGCTTGCTGATTCGTTTATCGAACAAGTGTTGGCTCCTAGGTAAATACTTCCACATATACGGGTCGGTCTCAAGTGGGTGCAGCCGAACGTCTTGCGGCTGAACTAGAACGCCGAGGGAGGCCTCTTTTTAAATATCAGCAGTCACGCCAGGAATCACTACGTGCTTCAACATACCTATGTGCCGTGCTATGTTGTTTCGGCACTTCTCACGCAGCCGTGTTCGTTCTTCGTTCGAGTTCTTCCGCATGATCACTCAACGATTTAGTTTCGAGGACGAGTACTACTGTGTGACTAATGACAAACACAACTTAATAAGAACTGCTTCAGCGGCACACGGTTTTTGGGACATGATTTCGATATTAGCACTGGCACCACTTGAAAATGTGGTGACCAGTTGTCAAACTAAACCACTATACGGCAGTCCTGAGGATGGGATACCATACAAAAACGTGGGATTTGACAGTCGCACAACGCAAATCGCAGGACCTCCATGCATACGACACACTCAGATCTTGTCCGCTGCTTGCGCAGAGTGTTGTTGCTCCGTGACTTCCACCCAATCCTTGGCAGCATAATCGACGATTGCACCATACCTCTGCACCATAGTGTTGAGCTCATCAGCGCTGATCAGCCAACGGTCATCAGGCTGGACGGTGTCGAGATAGTGATTGAGGACCAGCTGTTGAGCAGTCGAGCTCACCTGTCGTTGCATTTCCTCCATGGCCTCGAACACTACACGGAAAAAACGGAGTTCCCGTCTGTACGATGAGTTCTCTCGCACAAGCTCAACGAGGCGCTGTTCATGGTTCAACCTTGGTCGAAATTTAGAAGCTCGAAGAATTTTTGGTTGGTACTCGAGCGCAAAGGTAGAACCCTGGGCTTCCTCAATGCGGTTGTCAAACTTTTGAATTTGGGGAGGCTGATCACAAAGAATGGTTCTTTCACGTAGAACGCGGTCGAAATAATCATCGTAGGCCTTGCACCCTCCGTCCATCATGTGCTGTAACTACTTGGATCGATCTTCATGCCCCCCTACATACGACGTAGACGAGGCACCCCTTACATATAGCTTTTCGTCCTACATGCAGCCAGTCTTCCACCACGACAAGCGGTGGCAGTATTTACACTACCTGGTTTACATTTGCTCAGCCTCGGTGGCGTTCGTGTCATCTGTTGGGAACATCTTCTGCATTATCGCCGTCAATATGTGTGCTGCCTTGCACGCCTCGCTAATCTGGCTATCGCTGTTGCGGACGACCTTGTTGATGTCCATCACGGCATCGTTCAGACTCTTGTGCTTGGCCTCCATTCGTCTCACGTGGTCCTCGTAATGCTGCATGCGATTTTCAAGAGCTTGCAATCTTCGAGTCTGTCAGAATGGCTCTCGTAAGGTCTGTGTCATCTTACCTGGTGTCTGACTGTAGTGGACGAACTCGCTTCAGGGTAGATTCCAAACTGGAGAGATCACCAGAGGGATGACCGGTGGGCGCTGTTCTCGTGGACAGACCAGTACCGCGACCCTGATTGTTGCTCGATCGATTAAGCGACGACAAATAGCTAGGCTGTTTCGATCGATCCTGTTGGACAAGTCCTCGAATAGTGGTGGGCTGCGCAGGTGTGAATGCGGTGTTGTCAGCGGCCATGTGCTGAAAATCAAACGTGCCACTGTTGTGTTCCTCGAAGAGGTGTGCGTCGTCACCAAATTCCATGTATGTCGAGTTGTCTGGGAAAGCCATGCTGTCAGGATTTGCGCAACGTTCAGTCGGTGCCACGTCCACTGGGTGAGGTCCTCGAAGTCCGTCATATATAATCGTGGCACACACTTCAACATCGACCACGGATTTGCCATTGCCAGCACAACCACGAGATTGTGTTGCGAAAGCAGTGCGGAAGGTAGTGCGTCTTCTCCACTGACTACTCTCAACAATAAGTGTAGTGTTGTATCGATTGCCACCTGGAGATCTGGATTGTCCTCGTCGTTTCAAGCACTGTGAAACAGAGAATAAGCTGACTCCATGAGACGATCGTAACCACCACAATTGTACCGGAGCAGCAGCTGAAATTTTCACCACAAGTTTTCGCGGTTGAGTAACTCCCGACGAGTCAGCTATAAGAAAAGTGGCAGTCGAGCCACCCACGACTTTTCCACATCCACACATCGCCATGGTCCGCAAAGCTCGTCAAGCCTCCCATCGACGAAAAGGGATCAGCACGGTGTCCCGTGACGAGCGAGCAGCCAAAGACGAGAAAGCTCGGTATGAGCGCTTTCGGAGACGCAGATGGGGCATCATCAAGAAGATTTCAGAGTATGTGGAGAAGTTTGACGCCCAGGCGTGTGTCTTGGTGAGCGATCGCTATCAAACCCATTACTTCACATCCGGCGAGTGGGTGCGTGAGCCGGAACGGATAGTGAGTACTGCTCCCAGCACGAACCAAGGAGGTTATTGATGTCGATTGCAGCCGGGCGTCATTCGTGTCTTCGGCCCAGGTCGTCGCGACCTCAGACGTAGAGGTTCAATGAGCTCGGAGGCCAGCTATGAAACGGCAAGTGATCAGCCGGACTTGCGACTGATACAAGGATTATCGACCACGTACGCCGCATCTTTGAGTGGCTTGAGGAACGTTCTGAGCCGCATGGTCAAGACGATCGAGGCATTGCAAGTGAAGAACACCCTGGACGCATGACGAAGACTCAGCGGTGCCGTCTGTCACCTCTCTTGCACCAGGAGTCCATTGTGTTTCAGGTTGGTGGAACCATTGGCGCTTCCGCTCCAGCGAAATGGATACCATTGCTGCGATGACTCGATCTGTTCATCACAACCCCAAGCGTCGACGGCGACTTCTGCCACGATTACAATGACGACGGCTCGTCCCATTTTGCGGTGTGGATGATGACTATAGGTGCTTTCTGTATGTCTGGAGTCGAGGTGAACGATCAGCGCCACGACTGCCTCGAATGCGTTAGCCTACTCAAGATCCATCCTACCGGGCGCGAACTTAGCGCCCAACAGGTCCTTGGCGTTCTCACGCGGTACTTTTTCGGGTGCCTGGAAGTCTGGACAACGTTCGATTTCGAGGCCACAACAGAACTATGCTTTCAGGCATGTTTTCATAGTCGATAACCGATCAATTTGCAGATCGTCCTATTTCGTAGCATGTGGTGGATGTGAATACCGATGAGCAATGTGGGAAGTGATACATTTCAGTGTTTTCAAGAATTGTTTTCTAATGAATAAACCTGTGTCACCACGTCAAACTGGATTTGGTCATTTGACAGTCGTATCACGGTACATTCAACCCAATAGTTATGCAAAATGACCTCCTTTGCGAAATATTCGATTTGTAGTCACCAGTCGTGCCAGTGACGATACGCGAAAACCACGAACATCGAAAGATCATAGTGCGCGATTGACTCACACCCCTGTGAAGCTTGACAGGGCTATTTGCAATTACAGTCGAGGAGGTCGAAGCCGCCCACTATGCGGTCGTGACCATGACTTACAGTGGACCTGGTGACCATTTATAACTTCGCTTCATCAAACGAGTATCACTGGTTTAACATGATTGTGTCATCATGTGTTCCAGACTTTCGAACGAACTCATGCTGATGATCTTTCAGAGGGTAAGAATCCATCTATGCTCATCTGACAACGGCTAACGTGGAGGAAGCTGTCCCGTCGAGACTTGATCCAGACCATACAGGTTTCGCACCAATGGTACCACCTCGCCAACGTCTTCCTATACCGCGAAGTGTCTTTTCCACTATCCTGGGTGTGCCACAGATGTGTACGCCGTGACTCGCGATGGCACAAGGACGAAAGACAACGCCTCCGTGTCATCAGTGCATTGCTCGATCAAGACAAAGCCGTCCAGATTGAGCAGCTGTACATCGTTGAGCGACAATCTCCTTGCTCTTGCAGTCCCCTACCAGCGACCGTGATACATTCCGATATGTCGTGTTGCTCACGCCTGTGGTTCGTGTCGTTGTGCAATTCACTGATCAACGCACCTCGTCTTCGGACGGTCAGGTCAGTGAAGTTCTGGAGACAACGTGATGGATCCTTTTCAAGTAACATGTCTCTAGTGTGACAGTTGAACGTCTGATGCTCTCTCTGGATCCTTTGTTGCACAGGTTCAATCCATCGGAGGTCAAAGTCCTCTTACCCAAGCGGAAGTTACTGCCGTCCTTGCGAAATACACAGTACTTACCTCGTCTTCGATCAGCTCCGTTCACCAGGAGTCATTCGCTCACGGCACTACGCAGTCTCGACCTGCACTTGGATCGTGCTGACCTTGTCCAATCCATCGAACGCAATGTCCAAATCGACCTTTCAAAGCTGAAGAGCCTGGAGCGCCTGGAGGTCAGCGGCACGATGTGGAGCGACTTTGAAGATGCATTTGTTGGGTCATCCGCAAGTATCAGGAGCTGTATTCTTCGAGGGCCACTGGTCGTGGGGACACGCTCCCAGCGTTTCTTCGACCGATTCGCATCAGGTTTGACGAGCCTGTTTTGCCACGAGGTCCACTTGGTGAGTCGAGTTGACACAATCTTCCCCGAGTTGACGCTTCTCGGACTACATCACACCATTCATGCAACTGGCATCTTTCCATTCTCCCGTTCGTCGTTACGGACGGTGCTACTCGAGTTGTCCGATCTCGGGGATGTCAGTGAAGCGAATGACGTCGCAAGCGTGGCTCAAACACTGGTGAACGAAATGAAACCATCTTTGGAGACGATGTTTGTTCATAGCAATTCCATGGCGATCCTGCAAGACACGTGCGAAGCCTTGTTCCATACCGATACTCCTCTGGTCGCTGTCATGGTCGATACCTCAACCAGACCATCTTCCCAATCGGGGCACACTCTGCTCTCGAAAGACATGGCGACTACTGCCAGCGAGACATCGAATGGGACAGATCGAGCACATATCTTGGCTACCACGACTTTATCACCTGACTCCGTATCGACAAGCGCTGAAACTCTGATGCTTGATGCGACATGCTGTCAGGTAGAGCAACGTCGAAGAATGCTGAAGAGGTATGGTGTGATAAATTTGGACTTCCAGACGTACATGTCGCTGTATGGTCTTGACTTGAGTGGCTGTGCTGCACATGCTGTACACCATGATTCTGCACCCACAAGACCGAATGCTACCGTGCGCTACAAGCGTTTGTGAAGCACGAGGTAGGCGCTTCTTACCATTGGAATATTTGCTGGTTGTGTACCTTGATTGGGCTCTTGACGCAGGATAAGGAACGGAATCGAGGTTGAAAGCTCGCTGATGGTAAGATCTGCTTTGGTGCGGAAAGAGCCGGTGAGGCTTCGAGCACTTCGAAAATAAAGTTTCGAGGCAGGATGTAAGCCATATCCAACAGTGCTTTCGTCTTTAAACTGACTCTCAAGCCGTATTGGCTTGCATGAAGGAAATACATCTGAGCTTGTCCATCAGCTAATCTAGTTCTCTCTTTCTTACCTGTAGCTTATAGTATCAAATTTCAAGAACATAACCGCAAGTGTTAGTATCCATAGTCAGACGTAGTGTTCATGAAGGAAACCACGCTGAGTAGAAGTTTTACTGAAACCCTTTCTTTTCATCAGATAGAGAGATACCATGAAACGTTTGAGAGGTCCGAGTTGTCGAAAAGGCTCGTTGTATTGTGCAACTCCGGCCTCATCCAGCTTGCGTTGACTACGGTAGAAGTCGGCAAGACAGTGCTTCAAATTGAGAGTCGAGGTGTGATCAGGTCTCCGTATTTTCACTTTTCCAGCTAGTGCTCGTACATACGTCTGGATGCCTAAGCTGTGATCGATCTTGTGTAGTGGTTGCAGATGCAGTCGCTGGCCGATGAATCGACCGGACGACCATCTGGTGACGATGATCGATTCTTGTCCAACATTGAGACAGAGGCTGTCAGTAGGGAACTCATTGAGCTCGTCGTGGTTGTTTGATATCAGTAATCGTCGTGTATTGTGTGGATTGGAGAGCCACTCGTGGTATCGTGCCCAATGTCTGCTGATTGTCCAAGTTCCCCAGCTCTTCTGCGAGTACGAACTCTCTGACTGTTGACCGAAGGTCAATAGAAAGCGTTGATGCTGAGCTTGCGTTCGGCCACATGACACATGTATAGCTGCTGTTACGTCGCAGAGCATACGCGATCATCGATTAGACTGGATAGGTGGGACCGATGTCAGACGCAAGCCGAATGACCCCGTCTTCGCCTCTGTACCTGCAGAGTGTAGGCCGTCAGTCATGTGGACTCCAGATTGATTATCGACTTCTTTTCGTAAACGTCGGAGTGCCTGCTCCCCTTCGCCATACAAGACTAGCATGAAGACGTTAAAGATGTCCAGCAGGCAGTATGCTTCGTCCTCTTTCCTCTTGGTGTGACGGTTTTGGTCCACCCTATACCTCCAAGGACCAGAAACTCGGAGAAGAGTTGATCCTGGAGCGTGGCGATTGGAATCATTGTGACCTGGTGAATCTGTCGTATAAGCGTTTCCTTTGTTTCTAGAAGCGCTCTTCCCCACGAGAAGAACTCAACGCTGGTAGGTGCCGAAGACTTCTGAACTGTTCAGCCTCGATTGAACCAGCGACTACTTCGAAAGCTTGATTTCCAGATTGGTTGCGTATTGTTACCGGTGCTGCGCTTTCAAAACGAGACATCCAACACCTACATATAGCCTTTGCCTGCATTCTTGTATCGATGAAACATGGAGGTAATATCCCTCAACAGCTCGATGTGGCTGTCCTTATTGATGCAGCAAATTTCTACCCGGAAGTAGTCATATCCATCCCTTCTCGCTTCTTCCCACAAACGAATCTTCTTGTACCCCTACTTCTGCTGGCCTACATGCTTCTCGATGTCGCCACAAATCACTTACTCACTGTCACCACCCCAGGCATGTCATAGGATCGTGTATGGCGGGACGTCATCGCAATCGGCTATGTCTTTGTAAGGCTGGAGTCAGTCGAGCTGTTCCACGTCAGCAGTTGCACAGTCCCATAGTCGTACGGTTGTCACTGACCTTGTCAGATACATGGTTGAAGCTCGACGGTACGTAATTGATGGAATCACGTAGTGTTCGACCATCGATATGAGTGGACGATTGGCTAAAGAGCAGATCCCATCGAGTGCCAGGGTGCGACTTACGGGACTTTGGTTCGTCTAGCGTATTATCCAGCACATCGTGTTGGACAATGCCAGCAACGCTGCGCTCCTAGCCAATACGTTGGAGGTCGCCGATATTTGGACCACGTGACCATCATAACACGAAGAGCTGGTAGAATTCCCAAGAATTTACCTCAGAGACGACTATATTGATGCTTACTTATGTGAAAATTTCGTCTCGACCTACAGTGTCCAACTTCGACCACCTTCTGAGTGAACCATGCCCAGCACTGCAAGTTGAATGTCTTTGCGAAGACACTAGGGCTCGTGCGGTCGTACTCAGAACTTTTGAACGACTACCGAGCCTGACCAGGTACGGTCACGCCACATTCACAAGTGATCGAGCATCTCATCGAGTAGAAGTGGCAGATTCTACGGGGCCACCCTGAGTGGTGACTCGAGTGGGCAATGAATTCAGGAAATGGCTTTGTGGTCCAGAATTGATGGCGTGTGCTACATTGACACTCTTGGCCACAAGCATTAGAGCTGAAGCTGGACAAGCCAGACACTGGTTCAAGGACAATTTCAATGACTCTAATATCTAAGGTCCTGCTCTCTGGCGCATGGATCCTGGCAGTACTTGATCACAGTGTTTTCGCAACCACCCTGTAAAAGCGCTTCATTCCACCTCCCTGTTGAAACCACCAGGCCTGAAATTGCTGACCTCTTCCCATTCACAGGGAGTATCTCCGTCCGTTTACAACGAGATCTGCCATTGGCATCCCACGACGATTTATAAACAACTCTCCTGGTGGAATGGGTCGCGTTCTGCTTGTAGTGACGTTTTCTAGTGCCATACCAGAACCACAGGCATTGTGATGGACCACCAGGTAAGTACGTTTCGTTACGATGCTTGTACGGGGCAATATCTATACTAATAACACTTGAGCAAATGGTGGACTTGCAGCGCGTTTCTTGGTGGCCACGTTATTCCATGGTGGACGAGCCTGTTACTGGTCGATCGTGTGTCCATCTAGACACCGGCCAGTAGTTCACAACGGGGACAAAGAGTACCAGGGATGACCACCTCCCGTTGTTTTGCTTTTGTTGCTGTTATGCCTCAAATCCTCGTCGCTCCCTGACTCTCGTAAGAGGTAGTGGTGGCGTTATGTCCGCCTGCGTTCATCGACATTTGCTGGATCTTGTGCAGGAAGAAGGACGTTGGATCTTGACGAATCCAGGTCGCATGCACCGGGTTGCAGCCGCTTTTCGGCATGATGCTCTTACTCCTTCGATCGCCTTCTTCATCGGCCATCAGTACAAGGCTCAAGCGTTACAGACCCTCATTCCGGACCATGGTGACTTTGCCCACCACTCGCACGGCATTGCAAACTTGCTGGGTGCGAAAAAGTCACTGATCACGGACTTCCCTCTCTTGTATCTGGATTGTACACCTGGAGCGACATGTACCAGTCTGACCAGTGCATGGACCATCTGCCACGACAATGCACGGCTAACCTTAAACACAGGTACCTCCAATCTCACGAGCATAGTAGCAACGCTACACGTCAATCTCATATTCCCACTGTGTCACGTCGTATGTGTCTTTGTGGACGATTTCGTGGACGCTCGCGCATGCCAGTCGTACATCGAAAATCGGCTCCGAAAATTCGCTCAAGGTGAACCCTCACCGTGCACGCTGCAACCAAGGCTGGTGCTGGTCACTTCCAATGCCGACAACTTGTCCTCTTTGGGACAAATCGAGTCACACCAGGACTTCAGCCATGTCTTCGACAGTTTGGACATATTATGCGTCGATAAGCCGGATAGTATCCAACCTATAGCGGTCGAAGTCGCCAAATCGCTGCAGCACACCCGGCGCACGAGGTCGCAAGGTCACTTGCTCTTTTCTCTTCGGCATCTAGGCACAATACTCGACACAGCTATTACGTCCGATCTGGCACCAATCGACCTTTTCGAGATGCACCAGCCTGTTCTAGACGTGGTCCAGGACAATCGCGCTGTAGCCCATCTCCGACACGCCCTAGTCTTATATCAGACTTGTCTTGATCAGCAGGGTTTTATTGATCTGGTTGCATCAGCCCTTCTTGTGCAGTGCTATCCAAGGTCTGTTCACAGTAAGTGATCTTCTCCCTCGAAGGAATCATCCGCGATTGACATGAGACAGGATTTGCGCCAAGCATCGTCTTTGAGCGGATCGTTCGTCAGCTCATCATGCGTATGAACACGCCTGACTCGCCCGTATGTTCTGTCGATCAGCTCCACGATAAGTTCTGTCAGCTCTTTCGACGACTGAACCTGTCAGTGACACCTCATGATGTTCGTCGTAAATTACTTTTGAAACACAAGACAACTTGCACTGCTCTGCAAACGACCCAGACATGTCTGTGGTGTCTGCTCAAACCTGCTGAACGAGCTCTACGGTGTGGACACTGTTTGTGTGAGGGTTGTCTAGAAGCGTATTACAACCCTGGACATGGTGTTTACTCCTATCGGGTGGATCGTTGCTTTATTTGTGGCCTAAACGTCAACACGGTGTTAAAAGTCAAACCACCGACCGCGATGCCGTCCATCCTGAGCATTGACGGTGGTGGTGTCCGCGGCATTGCCGGGCTTGTGCTAATGAAGCGCGTTCAAGAAGCATTGGACGTCCCATGGCCGCTTTGGCGCTTCTTCGACTTCGTGGTGGGGACCAGTGTTGGTCAGTAGCGCTATCGATTACTGGTATCACGTGTGACACTGACTGAAAATCTATAGGAGGCGTCATCGCACTCGATTTGGCCATCGGTCAGCACTCTCTCGAACAGAGCATTGCTCGCTTTCTCGGATGGGTGTCCGACATATTCCCGGCGCCACCATCTGGCATGCCCGTCTGGCGTCACAAACTACGTCAATTTTGGGCATGGGTGGCTCGTGACAGTATTTACGATTCGGAACGATTGGAGAACGTCATGAAGGAAGCTTTTGGCAAGACGCAACACCTGTTTAGTGTCGAGGGTCAGCACTGGTCGGGCATCAAGCTGGGGATCATGGCGACTGAGGTGTCTCGTTCTGAGTTGCGAATCTTTACCAACTACAACGGGATTGGTCGGTGTGAAAGTGACAGCGGTAAGCCTACTGACATGACGGACTGGCAGAATGTTAAGTTTCGCACAGGCTACAAGCTCCTACGACCGCCCGTGGTTGACGAGGAACCACTCGTGTTCGAAGTGTGAGTGCTGTGCCCCTCGAGACCGAGTTCAACTAACCAACACATAGAGCTCGTGCTACCGTGGCTGCTCCTCCGTATGTTCACTGCTGGAGAGTGACTGTGTCAGGACTGATGGTGTGCAGCTATTTTCGCCCCAAGCAATTACGCGGTCACGAACCCGTCCAGGATGGCGGTCTCCGAGCAAATAATCCCAGTGAGCAAGCTCTGTGGGAGCTATCTGCTATCTGGCCTGGCCATGCCCGACCTTCCTTGGTGCTCTCTGTTGGCACAGGGTACCACGATACCCCTCCTCATAAGCTCGCCACGCAAAGTGCTTGGCGTAGTCGCGGTATGCCGCGAATTGTCCGCTCATTCATGATGTCTCCATGCCTCCACGGGCAAAACAGCTGGAAAGCCTTGCTCAACCGACTCGATCATTCCGCCCGCAAAAGCTTTATTCGTCTCAACCTCGAGTTCGAAGACGAAGAGCCAGCGCTGGATAATGCAGCTGAAATTCCATCGTTGCGAGCTCGAGCAGAATCATGCTACATTGATGTTGTCCTTTCACAGACCAGTATCTGGGCGTCGGCGTTTTTCTTTGAGTTGACGGGACGACCTCAGCTTTTCTGCGGCTATTACATCTGTCATGGAGTGATACTGTGCAAATTTGAGGACGCTCGTCAACTCCTGCGTGCCATTCGAAAAGCATATCCGTTGCATCAGCTAGCAGTGGGAACACAAGGATTGGTCGAGTTTGGTACGGCTGGGGATTACTGCGGAGAGTGCGGCTTGTTCCAGCAGCGTATCAGACTGGAGACTAAAACTCTTCTGACTCCCGTCGATGTCGCACTGCATTATGATACCCATACGAGGCGCCACTTGTCGTCCTTTCCCAACTCCATCGAATGGTTTGTAGCACGGCAGTCTGCATCGGGCGAGTTTCGGACATGGGAGTCCGTGATGCGCTGTGCTTGCAAGCGAACGTCGCGTAAGCGACGCGTGACTTGGACGTCCTCGAGCATACCGAAGAGAAGGAGATGCTATTGACCATCAGCAGGTCGTACTGTAAGTACTGGAAAATGATAGAGCACCATCAAGAAGATATAGAGTATCGAAATTTGGTATCGTTCTAGTCATATGAATAATGCTAGGTCAAATTAGGAAATAAGCGTCAAGATACATTGTCCTTGAAACAGGTCTGTAAAGGTTCCTTATCGGAATTCTACGTCATGCAATCATCGTACTAAACTATGCTCTCTTGATATGCGGTCACAGTTAGTCCACGCAGTTTCTGCTAGTAGGTGACGTGCGGCGTCAACTGATCGGATACACATCATGCAACCTTGGACGGAATCTCTGACCTTGATGCTCTTTGTAGTTCGTTGGAGCTTCTTTGTGCATGATCCATCGACTTTCGCATTCTGTCTATCATTGCTGGCTAAAACGTGTGTATGAACATGGCCAGATCTCCTTCTCATAGTGACGGCGGTGTGTTAATATCCAGGGACATGTGCAAATCTCTAATTTTCCCCATCGCTGCCATTTTTCGAAAACGATCTAACTCAATGAATTTTCGCAACCAATACTGGGAAGACATTCAGATTTAATCGTAATATAGAGGGGTGGAAACAAGAGCAACAAAGGTTCTCCCGAATATCACGTCGTCACCTTCTCTATAGATGAAGGGCATGTGCACTAACTCAGGCGCCATCGAGGGTCGGACCAGATGTCTTGTGAAGTTCTAGTCCTTGAACCTGAGCCTCCGTACGTATCAGTAAGTCTCGTAGCTCCTGGTCTAAGTGGAGGACTGATAGACGTTCATCATCGTCCTGCAGAAAACCGCTGTGCTTATATCCCTTCTTACGAGATGAATTACACAAGGGGGCCAATTCTATATCTCTAATACTTTTCATCAAATCTTTGGGCGATGTTGTCAAAGTTGCAAGCTCCGGGATTGGGTACAGACGAGCACTCTTGAGTCCTCGAATCAATTTCCCCAGCGCCAGAGCGTCACAGTCGACAACTTGGTGACACATACGACGCGGACCTTCGTACATTTCGACAAGTTTCGAAAGCGTAGAAAGAATTTTACTCAGGACACTTCGCCGTCGAGCTTGCATTGTTTCTACATCATGTCAGCATTGTCCTGCATCAACTCCAGCAGTTAACTCACCAAGGATCCAGTAGGGTAATTGTGCTTCCTGCCTGGAGGGAAACGAACAATCTGTCTCTAGAATCGCATTCCTCGTCGTGTTCTCAAGATCTGCTGTTTGATTCAGCTCAGAGCAACTATAAATCCACGACGCTAGATCATTATCGGGACCTGTAGGCAGCTTCTGTCGAAGCTCTCCATACCATATATCTGTGAAAACCTCCGTCACTTCATGAAATTCGTACTTGTCAATGAGTCTTAGAGCTTCCCACAACATTGGCCTTTCCACTTTGCGCGGTACTTTTCGGTGATGACCGTGGATGATATTGAGCAAAATCTTTAAGGCATGAATGTCATCTCCTGCAAGAGGAATCTCCGTCCATGTGTCATCAGACTCATCTTGTCCTCTCACACTGATCATACCCGCGAAAACAGGGGAAGCAAACGCAAGATGCTTTGACGGCACCTTCATACGAACTGTTCGCGTATTCTTTGCGCTCTGTGACGAAACGACTTCGTGCTGTCGTGAACTAACATTTACCGAAGAATAGTGCATGATCGCATTCGCAGTCGCGGCAGGGTCATCGTTGGCGAGGACGTCGTTCTGTAGAGTGTTATAGATTGATGTCGTCTCCACGGGTACCTCGAAGCTGATAGGAAAAATCTCTTGATGAGTCTCGACTATCAAAACGACATCTCCTGCTGGGTCGAAGACGCAAAGTTCTGAGTTTAGACACATCAGAGTTACTGGTGCGAAGCAGAATATATAGCAGACTCTTTGTGACGAGGTGTCTGGATTGATGTCTCCACTAGATCTGGAAAGGTACGAACGTAGCCTCAAGAGGTTTTACCTGTTAGAATTGAGTAATAGATCCGATAGATGAATATACTATAGAAAGCGAGTCGTGCACAGGTAGGGGTGTACATATAACTTCGGCCAATTACGAAAGCTATGGGAACTACATAGGAGATGCGTACATATATAGGGGTCAGTTGTTACATCTTGATTAATGTGATCAAAACCGATCTTACTGATCACCCCTAATCACGCTGAGCGGTCTGCAGCTCACGTGATCCATAATCCTTATCTCCCATGTGCTAGGCTCCTTCGCCTAACTTTCCTATATCTTCGCAAAAGGCCACCATGTGGTCACATAAAAACTCATCGCTGGAGTCACTGGTAGGTCGCATCTATGCACATCCAGGATATCAGTTTTTGACGGCACTTGTCAGAGATGCAGTTGCTATGCACACGTCTAGCTTGCGGTATGTGTCTATGCAGTTCCTGCGGGCAGATGACATACGGCGTCATCTGATTGGGTGTACGTCATGCAACCTTGAGGGCTCACGAGGGACAACCCTTGAGGTTCTCAGCACTATCTAGTCCCAACTTGAGGCTAAGCAGGTGGTTCAGGTAAGCCATCTAAGTGATCTTTCGGAGATCCGCAGGGTAAGCTGGTTGAGCAGCGAATTCCGTAAGCCGCCTCATTCTGCCTTGGTCTTGTGCGACATTTGTCCTGCTCTAGTCTGGCCCTACGGACGGCTGCAGCGAGAGGATGTCAATTTCTGCAAAGCGACTTGTGATTAGCCAATGATAGCGCACCACATCGCATGTGCAAGTTATCGCCGATCAGCCTGATTTGCGTTCAGATCATGCTGTCTTCTGGGTGTGTAGCTACACGGCTGGGGACGTTCGCTCTCCAATGCACCAGCAACAGGTCGAATGGTTGTTAGGTTGATCGCCCGTCGAAACGAGATATACGTTAGCCGTCATGTCAACGTTGACATTTTTTGTATTCTGCTTACTTTTGTGCAGGACAGGATATTGTATGCAAAAGGCCTTATTTCTCAAGTTGACTGTCAAGGCTTCGCATCATGGCCAACAGGGTACCTTTCAATTTCGACTTAAGCTTAGCACTACTAGCTCCATATACAGCATCAGCTGTATTCCCATCAGAAGAAGACATACGGTCTTGGAGGGTCCTTCCATATCAAACGTTCAGTAAGCCTTTCCTGAGACTGTGGGACAAATATTCTGGCAGCCAGCCGGTCAACGGAATACTAACATCAAGAGATCCGACAAAACGTCTAGACAACTATGGGAATCGCAAGAAATCCTTAGAGATTCACATCGACCATGGCAAATGGGAAAAAACACCTTTCATATCATTCACAACCTCCCCATCGGCGATTCGAGAAATTGCAAACATGAGGTCATCAAAACGAGGCGAACAGACGCTAACAGTGGTTGACCCTTGCATTCGTGTTCGACAGGGCATGCCAACTCTTGATGTGGAGGCTGAAATGAAGCGATACAACATCAGTGATCCTTACGGGGTGAATGGCCAGTACTACACTAACCACTATGTTTGTGTATGGACAGTTGCTGCAGATGAAGTCGTTGGACATTGGCAGTGGAGTAATCTTGCAAGCGACTCGAAATGGTATGATGAAATCATCATGCCAGCCGTTTCTCGAGGTCGTTCGCAATTGGCGGTCAAGCACGTCCTGCAAGCACCTTTCGGTTTGTCGGCTCTCACACGAGCCTTGACTGGGAACGACTGCCAAACTGGTTCAATACCCAGTGCTAACAGCGCTTCCAAAGTGCTAGGTACTTCTCACAATCAGTTCAAAGCCTCTTCAGACTGCGACAACGTAGCGCAAGTACGACAGCCAAACACGAAATGGTCTGTCATTCCGAGGACCACAATGTACGTGGAAAAATTGAAACTCTTGTGCCACATTCCACCAGAACTGGAATGCCACGGTTATGTTACTGAACAACTTTCAGATTCACCGTTGCGTGCCAAACTACGGTGTGTCAAATGTGGAGGTATGTTCATATCCCGATCTTGAATGTCTTGTCTAAGCTAGTGAAGAAAAGGTGAAAAGAGCCAAGGAACCAAAACCCGGACGGACGTCAGTGCTATCAATCCAGAAGCCGGCTAGCACTACAAGTTTGGACCATCATGACAGTGTCGGTCAACTTCGGCAGCTCACAAGAACTGTCTGTATGTATCATACCGGAAAGGTTGAACGAAAGGTATGTACGTATTCCTAGGGTAAACGATTCTCGCTGATGCGAATAGCATTTCACGTGCTGCAGCAAACACGTCTCATCTGAGGGGTGTGTCGGCGAGACTTCTCACACCTTTGAAGTGCTATCTCCCAAGTTTCGACAATCATGGAAGTTTTATCCAACGACTGCTACATCCAATTCACCGGCGTCGAGCCGTACTTATCCCGGAACTGTCAGTCCAGCGAGTTCAGAGGTCCTCATGAAACATACTCATCCTGTCCAAGCCATCGCCCTCGACTGTGAGATGGGCACAGCGAAATCAGGGAACACCGAACTGATACGACTTACAGCCGTCGAGTTCTTCACGTCGGAGCCACTCATCGACACTCTGGTACGACCAACCGTCCCAATGCAGCACTGTAATACACGATACTCTGGTGTTACTGCTGCAGCAATGCGTACGGCGGTGAAAGAGAAATCGTGTCTGTTCGGACGTGATGCTGCTCGTCAGGAACTCATGAAGTTCATTGACTTGAACACTGTTGTGGTGGTTCATAGAGGACAAAACGATCTTTCGGCTCTACGCTGGACTCATCCAGCAGTGATCGCTACCTTCATTCTAGAGGGGTATCATAGCGAAATGAGGGGTGGACGTTCCCTGAAGGCGCTTTGCGTTAGCCTGCTCAACATCGACATTCAGAAAGGCAAGGGTCACGACAGTCACGAAGACGCTCTTGCGTGTCGGGAGTTGGTGCACCGATGGACGAAGGTAATTCCTGACTGATGCGAGGCAGGCGGGATCACTCGGAAGAGACGAACGCCTCGGGATACGCCAGGGTCACGAAAAGAATGCAATTTGAAAAAGTAGCACAACATGGAGCATTGCTCCTGGCTGTGATGGACAAGGCATAATTCTGCGTCAGTGTCTTATAGGAAGATCCAGTTCTGCAGCAAATAGGCACGCTCAGCTTTTGCGATCGTTGCTGCGGGCTGTGCTACAGAATCCCATACTGCTGGGTAAGACTACCCTGGACGACAAGCTCATTGTATATGTCTAAGCATCGCTCTGGTAAATCTGAAAGCGTGAACGCAGCCCGTCGGCTTTCGTGGTCCCTTCGGTACTTTTGTGCATGCTTACGACTGTTATGGTGGAAGCGAAAACTTATACGAGCAGGTCTTAGGTGCTGGAAGAGGTTAGAGACGAGTGACCATCATGGGTGACGCAGAGGTCAGCCTATCACTTACTTCGATGAAAAGTCCGACCTTGATAAACGTCTGTAAGTTGCGATACCTACAAAGACTTTGGTCGTCCGATGGGTCCAGACAGATGGCACCATCTAGCATGAGCATCTCCAAGTTAGAACTCTGGAGTCTACGGAGCGTGGAATGGCTTGGAGCCCACGCCATGCTTGATCGCAGAAACAGATGCTTGAGCTCAGGTAGGTCCCGCAGGGCAGACTCCAGGATCGAAGCGAACGTCAAACTAGGAGTGTTGTCGATCGCATAGATTTCATCGTTCTCGAGACAAAGTGTGGCCAAACGTACGTTGCGAAAGGGAAATCGCGGTCCTGCTGTTATGACACGGTGCAGACCGAGGTAGCGCAGTATAGGAAGGTCAACGGACAGGTCGCTGATGAAGTGTGTTCCGAAGCAATGCAGATTTCGCAAGCATGAGGACATCCGTTCGAAAAATGGCTCTAACCGACTACTCAGTACGAGCGGACCTCTCAGCACACAAGTTGTGACGGATGTGGTTTTGCCTGTAAAGAGAGATTCGAACCCACTCCAGACGTCGCCCTCCACGCGCAAAGTGTTGAGACATGGGAGAGTTGATAGATCGACGAAGGTCGGTAGAGGTGTCGTGTTCGACGACGCGCGGCCTCTCAAGATGATGCGAAGCTCCTTGAGTCTGGGCAAGCTAGGTAACCGAAGACATTGACCTCCGAAGACAGTCAGCTCACCCATCGTTGTGGTATCCAGAGGGACTGTAGGGCGGGGAAGTAACACGCTGTCCAGTTTTAGCGCGTGCGAATATGCGTCTTTCGTTCACTTACGCCTCTAAGTGCAGTGCTTGGAGGTGACGGGCTTCAGGTAGAGTGCTTAGGACAGTACTCAGACACAACCGCCGAAATGTCATCATCCGCAGGGAGTTCGACGAAGTGCTCGCACATGTGCAGTACGGATCACGAGCCGTGATATATAGGGTCCTGATGTTTCTGGCGGCGCGAGGATTCATCAGCGCTTGCAGAAGTCGACGTCGTTGAAGCCCGGTCGTTTCGCCAACCCGTGGGGGATGGCAGTATGAGCAGCATCGCGCGACTGGGAATACCATGGTGCGGAATAGGAGATGTCTACCGGCCGAAAGCCAGCGGCGGCATACGCGTATTGCGTGGACAATGTCACCTCTTGGTACCTACAGCTGCTCAGTCATGCCTGTGGGTCTGTTCGTGTTTCTGCACAAACCTTCTCTAGGATCGAAAGCAATATCTCGTCGGGCAAGGCCTCCATGATTCTGATGTTTCACAGTAGGTGTCGAGATCTTTGGCTGGTGGCACGGATTTACTTAATCACAGCTAACGTCCAAATTCCGTGGTTGTGAATGATGTTGCCAGCCATAACCGCCCCCGAATCCCTTGGGAGAAAGAGACGACCCATGAGCCCAGCCACAATGCCACGATGCCACGATGCCACTGCTGGCGCTATCGAATGAGGTTCTGCTACGAGTCATGGAGTACGTGCTGCTTCCAGACATCAATTCGCCGTTGGCCCTATTGTGAATCGTAATGGCCACTGCCACGACGATGTCTGTTTCGGAGTTCTTGATCGTGCAGTGGATTGTTGCAACCGCCGTTTGCGTGACCTCACGAATTGGTGGATATTACAAAGACCGTTGGGCCCGTACCTACGACTTTGGCCCGATAAGCGGAACTATTGATGTTCTCCACCTAAGTGGCTCCAAACTATGCCTCAACGTGTCCCTAAGCGAAAGTACGTACGACTCCAGATCAGCCTACTACACGAAAAATCTAAAATTGGACACCTGGCAAGTGAAGGCGCATTTGGAGCGTGGGGACAGGTACTACATCACCTCGAGAAGTACGAACTGAAGTCCTTTCAAGCCACAGTTATCAGTCGCATCGGACAGGGGACTTACTGCCCACGCTTTTGGATGGTTCAAGGAGTACACTATGCATCGTGGCTACAGTTTCAGAGTCGAGATTCAGGATTCTTGTGCGCGCAGTAACCTCGCGTTATTCCGTCTCCATCTGTCAGCGATCTATCAGCCCCCTGAGAGTAGCGCTTGACGATCGCACGGAACGCTGAGGTTACACCACTCTTGCCTGCGTATGTAACCACAGGGTTCTGACGGACCTCTATACACATGATACTGACATCACAGCCAGCGACTTGTTCGACGCTTAAAGCCTTGCTGAATCATACGTCCTTGGCTGCTCAGTAGGTTTGTATACCAACCTCGTTGTCCGTGACCTGTAGCTAGCATGGATCAAGGTGCTGCTCTATCTCTGACTTACCAACTCGTTGACGCTTTGGACCAGTATGACGTTCAGCAACGAGTCACTTCGGTGTTGGGACATGAGCTGTCGAGAGTCAAAACCGAGAAGCAGATGCTCGTTAGATTTCTGAGAAACGCTCTCAAGGACGAGCAAGAGAAGGCGGGAAACTACGCTAAATCTGAAGATGAGGTGCGGCAACTCAAACAATATATCGCGGAGCTGCTACACAATTTCAAGGCCATCTACATCCATGCCTCTAGAGTACCTGACAATGATCTCGTGAGGTTCTTTGACGAAACGCTGTTGGACATGAAGAAGATCATGGCGAACTACGGGATGAGCGATGAGTTGGAGACGCACAAAAATTCTGCCTCTGAGCCTGCAAAAGGTGCTTATCTCTTCTCCAGCCAAAGTCCTGGGAAACCCTTACATGCTAGGAAACGCAACAAATCACAACGACCTGGATTGAGGGTCATCACAAAGTTCCCACTCAACACGCCTATTTACGACCTCAATACGTCAGCTGAGGTTCGGCAATCTGCTAGAAGCAGGCACCAGAGTCCGACCTGGAACACCGTTTGCGAGCAGCTTGTGGCAAGTGCACAGTAGGTATGTTATCAAAATGTTTTACCCAACTACTCACAAGGTTTAGGCAAGCAAGGTCCGTTGCTGCACATAACAGCAAACCTGACTGTGTGTGTCAGGAGGATTTCTGTGTCTGTGACGCTGGCCAGCTACGTCCACCACATTCCCAAACGCGCTTCCTGGAGACACCGCGTGGAGAAAAAGGGGAAAAGAGCCTGCTCGGTAGGTACGAACACAATCACTACCCCGAGTTATAACGACTCCTACCATCATCGAAGTAAAGAGCAGAACCAGAAAGCGCAGGGGACCGCCGGGGGGGGGGGGGGGGGGGGGGTTTAAAAAAAAAAAAAAAGTATATAAAAAATAAAACCTAAACAAAAATAGCCCAAAAAAATTTGGTTTATACCAGAATACAAGAAAAAATTTTTCGAAGAGCGGGGGCAGGGG